GTTAATCAGGAATAGCAATAACTGAAGATTTTTACTGAATGTACGTGAACTATTTTTCTGCTAATATGGTATGTTCAGAGAGACATGCGTTCACATGGAGTTTCTCAGGCTACTCCAAGGAAAGTACCAACTTGTGAATTCTTAAAGCAGTTAAGTGTAGTAGTCAAATACTTTTGTCTTTTACAAAATTAGTAGCATTGATATGTTACTTAATTTATTTTAGGTGTTAAAAAATGCAATTTAATCAGTGGTTGCCAAGAATTAGGGTTGTGACTATAGAGGGAAGTGCAATAGAGTCTCTTTGTGGTGATGGAAAAATTTTGTATTTTGATGGTGATGTGGGTTACAGAAATTTATATACTCTTCAGTGTACATCCAAAAAAGTGCATAAAAACTGCTGAAATCTGAATAAGGTCTGTTCTGTGGTTTAGTTGATAGTATTATACAAAATGTCAATTTCCTGGTTTTGATCATGTCCTATGGTTATATGAGATGTTTTTTTGGGGGGAGGGTAAAGTGTATATGGGAACTTTGTAGTAGTTTTGCAGTTTCTTGTGACATCTAAAATTATTTCAAAATTAAAAAGTGTTTTAAAATGCTATTTATACTTCTATTCAGTATTCTGTGGTGGTGGTTTAGTTGCTAAGTCATGTCCAACTTACAGTCTGCATGGATTGTAGCCTGCCAGGCTCCTTTGTGCATGGGATTCTCCAAGCAAGAATGCTGGAGTGGATTGCCATTTCCTTCTCCAGAGGATCTTCCCGACCCAGGGATCAAACCCTGTCTCCCACATTGCAGGTGGATTCTTTACCATCTGAGCCACCAGGGAAGCCCAGATGTCTACTGTAGGAGGCATTACAATGTCTAACTTAAGGAATGGGCTTCAGAGTTGGCTCTGGTTCATACCCTAACTCCGCTGCTCTTAGCTCTGTGAACTTGGGGAAGTTAACTAAGTCTATCTGAGCTTCAATTTCTCCATCTATAATGGGTATAATGATAATATAAATAGCAGCTCTCACTTTTTAGTGTTGTATCAATAATATGTGATTAGTTATTGTTTGCACCTTATATAATTTAGCTCAATCGTTATAACAATCCTATGTGAAAGGTGCCATTTTAAGATTTTCAAATAAGGAAACTTAGCTCACAGAAGCTAAGTTACTTGCATAAGGCCACTCACCTAGGAAATGTTGGAACCAAGATTAAAACTAAGTCTGGATTTTCTGTTTCTGACTATACGAAACTAGCTTGTGAAGACCAACCATCCCACCAAGAACAACTAAAAAAACGTATTTTAAAAATATGTTTGAAGGCATTGGAGAGCCACCAAGGGACCCAGGACCTTAAGAGGTCACCATCTTGAAGTCAAGGGAAGCCTAGAGAAGTCGCCTGGTGTTCAATGTGACCCTTTCCCTTAGGGCATTTGTGAGGTGTGGCTGAGAGACTGAGAAGAAAAGCAGAACATGGTCCCAGAGAGTTGAGGAGCTGAATAGACCTTCAGTTTTAGAGACCTCAAGGACAAAACTGTGGGTTCAGGCCCCAACAAGGAGAATGAAGCTAGGTAAACCCTGGAGCCCTAGTTGGGGGAGGAGTGAGCCTGCCCCTACTTTTAACTGCCTGCCAGAAGCTGATGTGAATGCTTTCAAGAGGAAAATAAAAACATTCTGAACCTCAAATTATTCATTTAATTTTTCATAAACAATGCATGGTACTTAGTCAGAAATCATTAAGCATATCAGGCAACCAAACCAAAGTATTCAGGACAGGTATAGGTAGTATAATTATCAGATTGGCTTTTTAAATAACTAAGAATAATATATTCAGGAATTTAAAAGCTATGACAAACCTAGGCAGCGTATTAAAAACGAGAGACATCACATTGCCAGCAAAGGTCTGTGTAGTCAAAAGCTGTGATTTTTCCAGTAGTCATGTGTGGATATGAGGGTTGGACCACAGAGAAGGCTGAGTGCTAAAGAATCGATGCTCTCAAATTGGGATGCTAGAGAAAAGTCTTGAGAGTCCCTTTGACAGCAGGGAGATCAAACCAGTCAGTCCTAAAGGAAATCAGCCCTGAACATTCATTGGAAGGACTGATGTTAAAGCTGAAGCTCCAGTATTTTGGCCACCTGATGCAAAGAACCAGCTAATTGGAGAAGACCCTGATGCTGGGAAAGATCAAAGGCAGGAGGAGAATGGGGCAACAGGATGAGATGGCTGGATGGCATTACCAACTCAATGGACATGAGTTTGAGTAAACTCTGGGAGTTGGTGATGGGCAGGGAGGCCTGGCGTGCTGCGATTCATGGGGTTGCAAAGAGTTGGACACAACTTAGTGACTGAACAACAATTTAACATGACGAAGAACTCCAGCAGGGAATTAAAAGCTATAAAAAGGATTAGATGAGTATTTTCCAACTGGAAGCTTAAAACTGAGATTAAGAATTCAGTAGATGAGTTTGTCAGCAAAAGAGATACAGATTAAGCAAAAAGGATTAAATATTTTTTGAGAAACAAAGGGTAGAGAGTTTCTCAGCAGACCTGTACTTAAGAAAATCCTAAAGTGAGTTCTTTAGGCAGAAGGAAAACAGTCCCAAATGGAAGCACAGAAAGAGTATAGAAAGGATGGAAAGGGTAAATTGTGGGTATATTTAAATGAATATCTTACAGAGTTTCAATTAAATGGAGAATTTAAAAATATTTACATATGTCTGTAACACAAAGATGGGGCAGGAATAAATGATGTTAGTGTTCTGTGGTTCTTTCGTTGTCTGGGTGATATTTAAAGTACTGATTTAATTACAACATTGAACATTGTAATCTCTAGGGTAATACTATATAAAAATAGTAACATATATAACAAACTTATCATGAGGGAAATAAATAATAAAGCATTGAACCCTAAAGTAGGCAAAAAAGGAGAGAAAAAGGGACAGAAGAGAACAGGTTGTTCAGATAGGAAATAGTTCAATGGTAGATTTAAATCCACATAGTTATTTAACTGTTAGATATAAATAGATGTATACTGATAAAAAAAATATAGTCAGATCTGATTTGTCCTCAGAGACCCAGTTATATACAGCATGTAAGAGTTGTAAAGTTTTAGAGAAGTTGAGAGAATTCTCTGGCAGTGCAATGATTAGGAAGCTGCGTTTTCACTGCCATGTCCCAAGTTCAATCCCTGGTCAGGGAACTAAGGTCTTGAAAGCTGCATGGTGAGCCAAAAGAAAAAGAAAATGAAAGTAGAGTTGGGAAACAGTACACTGTGCAGACTTAAGTAAACCAGGCCCTGTACTTGTGCCGTGCTGTGCCTGGCTCATAATGTGATTGTTAGATTCAATTCAGATAATCTTACTTAGAGTTTTCAGAAGCACTGTCCTCCATGTGTATTAAGTATCCAGTAAATTTAATTATTATCTCTGAAGCAACTTGTTTCTTTAACAAAATTTTTCTTTTTTTTATTGAAGACAAATTTTAATTGAAATATAGTTCACTTACAGTGTTGTCTTGGTTTCAAGTGTACAACAAAGTGAGTTAGTTATACATGTATATATCTATTCTTTTTCAGATCATTTTCCCTGATAAGTTATTGTCAGATATTGAATATAATCCCCTGTGCTATACAGTAGGTCTTTGTTGTTTATTTCATACAGAGTAATATGTATCTGCTAATCCCAAATCCCTAGTTTATCTATCCTCTCCCCTTTCCCCTACCTTGTTTCTTAAAATAATATTCTTTTTCCATTTAGAGTTGATTCCCCAAAGATATTGTCTCTTGCATCATTATACATCTGACTCATAGGTTGCTTGACTTTTAAGTAGCTTCCATATGTATACATTTTCTTAAGCTTTATATATTCATTTAACTCACTGACCACCAACCTGTTTTATCTTTTTTTAAATCTGCCTTGTGGTGCCTCTGCCTAATGATAATATGTGAATTATTTTATGCTGAAGTAGTGTACTTTGACTGTTACTTGTAGAGTTGCCAAACTAAATGACACTCTTCCTTTTTCCCCTGTACTTTTATGAAAATGGTCAAATTCTTCAGAATTATTCTCTGAATAATGAATATGAATTGTTATCCATATAATGAATTTGGACTACTTCCCTCATGTCACCTGTCTTTTAGCATGAAGGCTGTTGAAAAATAGGTGGGGGTGTAATTCTTTATCAAACAGTACCATAGAACTAGTTAGAGAATTTTGTCTGGACCTTTTCTTTATATGATAGCCTGTTGTACATTGGTTAAACATTAACTGGAGACATCTTAAAAGACTTTTGTTCTTTTCTGCCTTTGATGTTTCATTTAGCTTTTTGGAAAGTCACATTGCTTTTTGTTGGACTGAAGGAAAGGATTTTAAATGATTATATTGACTCAGATCTGAATCATCTAAAATTAGTTTCCCTAGACCAACCAAAATGTAGTTGTAATTTTGGACTGAGTTTGGCCTTCTGCCCATAGGCTAGTGGGTACAGTTGTGTCTGTGGGATATCATATATATATATGCCTTCCAGAATTGGCTAGATTTAATGAAGGCTTTTCTTTTGATTTCTTTCTCCTTTAGGACATGTGAATATGAAATGTGCCATAGTTAATTTGGTGGGTAGCAATAAAACCAAATAGCTGTGTCCTTTTTTCCTCTGTGTTGAAAATGAGGCTTAATTCTGAAAGTTTTGAAGTAATTTTTTTCTTACAAATTTTACCTGATATTAACAAAACTGTGTGAGTGCTTGTAATTTACGCAGTAGTTTCTTCATAGCAAGTCATCTGACCTGGACTGTCAAGGAAGTTAACTACTAGAGATGGAAGGTAGAACTCACTGATTTTGGTTACACTGATGTTTTCATTACTATTCATTTCTCTCTGAACAGGTCATTCCTTTCAACAGCTGTTGATGAAATTCAGGAACATACTCTTTTATTGAGCAATTGTCATAAGTGCCAAGGAGTAGGAAAGTGAAATCCCAGATTAATGATAGCCATGTTGTATTGTTTAATAGGCAGTGAAATCAACTGTGCAGACCATCACTGTTGGAGGCGTGAGCACATCACAGTTTAAGACAATTATTCCTCTGGCAACTGCTCCCAATGTCCAGCAGATTCAAGTGCCTGGAAGCAAGTTTCATTATGTCCGACTTGTTACTGCCACAACAGCCAGTAGCTCAACCCAGCCAGTTAGTCAGAATCCCAGTACAAACACTCAGCCTCTCCAGCAAGGTTGGTAACCATTTTTTTTAAAAAACAGTAATGAATGTTTTAAACCTTATCATAGGAAGTGATCCTTTTCTTGCTGAAATCCTGATTAAGCAGGCGTTTCAGCTGAGAGTTTGAATCAGCAGCTGTTGCAGAAGGCAGTGAAATAGAATATATCCCAGTTGTATGTAACTATAGTATTTTGTTCTGCTAGAAACTGATACATAGTGTATTGTAGTACCAGATGATGATTTATTAGGTTGTGGGTAGCCATTTGATTGCTGATTTAAAAACCTACCATTATGCCAGTGGGATTGATTTAAAGGGAACCAAATTATTTATAATCTTTTTTTCTAAACTACAAAGCTGTCTAAACTGCACAGGGTTTGGGATCAGTTGAAATGACCAGTAGGCAAGGTATAAATGATTAGTATGTACTTCATCCTTTATGTACTTTGAATGTATAATTGATAATGAAAATCAGTTAAAATGTCATTGTGCTTGATTTTATTTTTCCTGGGAAGTATTCCTGTTAGTAGTCCTACTTCTGTTTGTGCTTAATCCTTCCAACTGCCTGATGTACATACATGGATTCACACATACAACCTTTATCCATATTTATCTACTTGTTAAAAAATTGAAACTGAAAGGATCAGGACAGCTTATATTTAGGGTCTAATTTTTTTCCTTGGAAGATCACTGCATATTCCATTAGTGTCAAATGGCAGGTGAATGATCTGTTGCTTATTGGATGTAGCTAGACGGATTAAAGACCATTTGTTTGCTCCTTCATTTTTATTAAGGGATCAGAGGGTTGGAGCTGTCCATTGCTAATACCTCGTTCATCTAAGTCTAAGGAAAAGTGGAAGAAAAAACTTGTTTTATAAATTACTGATGGGAGAAAACAGAAGATGCCTTAGGGAAATAGTATTTTGGTGTGTATTAAAATTAGACACCTCAAGTAATTATACTTTTTGTTCTCTCTTTAAACTGATTATGAAAGAAAATCTTTTGTTATAGTGTTCTTAATGAGAGGAAAAATGACATTTGCATGTACTGGTGACTAAGGGAGTCAAGTTTATATTCTCTCATTGCTTAGGAAGTGCTGCTCAGTGCTACAGTTTTCTTAGATACATAATGATATAAAGCAGTCACTAGATACAGTTGGTTATATTTTATGTTTGTGTGTTTGTATGTATGGAAATATGCTGAGCATCCACTTCTATTAACACTGATTTATGCATCATCGAGAATAAGTCTTTGGTGTGAGCAGAAGAGGAAGCTGAAGATCCAAGAAGAGTTAGAGGAGTAGTAGGTTGGGTGTTTCATAATTCTGGTGTGTTTACTGGTTCCTTCTTTCCCCACCACACATCTGTCTTTTCTGCTTCCCTCTGCTTCTCTGTTCTCTTTGCCTCTTTGCAATCCCTCACCCTCTCCTGCTTCCCCATAGCTTCCTTTTTTGCTTTCCTGCAGTCTCTCTCTGTCCCCCCCCAATCTCCTTCACATCTGTCTATTCCCTCTTCCTGCCTACTTGCATACATATACCACCCATGCTGTTTCCTTTCTGTTCACCCAGTTTTCCTCTTTTTGTCTTTCTCTCATATCCCATGGAAGATCTGGGTGTATGAAAAAGATATTATTTTATAGAAATAATGAATTAATATCTATTTTCATTAGAGAGATACTAAATAGTCACTCTAGTTCATGAAACATGCTAAAATCTTTCTAAAGGCTCGGTTCCCTACACGGAATTTACTTAAAAGCCAAAGGGAATTGGGCTCATCTTGTCCATTTTCCCATCAAAGCCATACAGACACCAGTAGTCAAAGGTTCCGCCATGGTAATTTCTGGCTGGATGGCAGATAGCACAGTGGAAGGACCCAGAAGATTGCTTGGTTCATTAACCTCTTTAGAATATAATTTACAGTCTTGGTGAGTGAGGAAATCAACTTAAGAAACTCAAAGCCCTCAAAGCAGGTATGGTTTCTGAAGTTTTGAAGGAGACTATTCTGAAAGGATAGTTCAGAATTCCTATGAAGACCAAAACATTAAAGATTATGCCAACTTCTGTGAAAGCTGCAGGAGGGATAATGGGATAATGTGGGACCATGCTCAAAAGTTGAGGAGGAGAAATCTAGACTGTTGACTAAGGCATGTAACATCAATATGACCACCCTCCATGTATATTTTATCATGTTCTTTTTTTCTGGCCACTGTGTTTTCTGTTTTCTCCATTCTCCAGATGTCAGTTAAAACTCAGCATGCATATGGCAAGCTGATGTAAACCTCGAGTTCACAAGTTTTCTAGCTCTGTGTGTGCACATGTGTGTGTGCTGGTGTGTGCATGCATGTGTGTGCGCACACGTGGGGACATGTCCGCTGTCCTAATCCAAATGAGATCCACTCAAGTCTCCCGCGGGGGGTGAATGAGGGCAAGAGGCATACTCCTCCCCCGTCATCTCACAGCCCACCAGGAAAGTTCCTGCATCTCTGTGCACTTACCTCCACATCACTGCTGTCACACTCACGGAGCAGTGACCAGCATCACCTTTTCAAGGAACAGGTGGTGTAGAGAGACCCCTTTTCTATGTCCCAGGCATGAATTCAGGCTTTTAATTTCTTTTTAATTCATCTTTTAATTCTTCATAGTATCGCTGAGACCAGTCTAACCTGTATTTAAATTAAATCAGAATAGGAAACAGTTTCAAATCGGGTGTCAGGTGTCACCGCTCCTGTAATTCATGGTCACACACTTTTTTTGTATAGCAACTTTATCGAGATACAGTTCAGATCTACCATAGGATTGACCCTTATGTAAAACATGGGACAGTTTAGTGATGTTTAGTATATTCAGAGAGAGCGCAGCCCCCCGCACTGACCATGCACTCTTTCTGGAGGTCTCTCTCCTTCCCGCCTCCCCCCTCCCTAGTTTATTACCTTGCTGCGGAGGCCTGCGCCCTTTCAGATCGGAGTACTCGCTCTGTCTCCTGTTCTTCCAAGGCTCTCAACTTTTTGTCTTCAGCCATCAACCCTCCCATCCCCACCAAAAGTAAAAAAAAAATCTCTTAACATTGTTAACAGCCTTTCTGTTCAAGGAAGTCTTTTCTTTACTGTTCAGAACAGTTTGTCTCAGTGTCCACAGCAGTTTATTATCTCAGCCTCTCTTTCATCACAGGCTCTAGGCCTTTGGTGTAAATAAGACCTGAAGTATGTCCTTTCTGTCTTCTCAGATCCCTCCTGTAGACTGTGGAAGTGGCAGTAGGCTTGATTGGAACTTGTACGCCTTTTGATCCAAACATACAGGTCTAGTGCCAGCCTGTCTCCTGAATTTCACCGTCTCAACGCCATTTCTCCATTTCAGGTTTCATCTTCCCTTCCGGTCAGCGCATCCTTGAATGTTTTGCGCTAATGGCCACCGTTTTCCCTTTCACTCGAGAGTTGAGGATGGCTGACCCTTCTTCCCTCGTGCTTACATCTCCATCCTTTCCCTGCCACCCTGACTCTTCAGCTCTTCCCTCCTTTCCGTTCCCAGTGCCATCACCCCAGGTCAGGCTCTCAGGTTCTGTACTCGGAATTCTGACTTCCTTTGTTCCTCACAGCTCTGTTGGGTTTTACATGCTGCTGCCACGAACAGCTTCCCTTTGTGCTCTTCTAGTAATGTTTCTTTACTTCACAATGCTCAGAAACTTCTGGTCGCCTACTGAATTAAAAGTACAGATGAAGTATATAGATCTGTACCTTGACATTCAAAACCTTCAACAAAACAGCCAGAGTCAGCTTTCTTTTTTTTTTTGGCCAGCACTAGCCTACTTTTAACCCCTAGTCCCAGCCAGACTTGTCTGTTTTCAAGCATTTTATGAAGAGAAGCTTCAAATGCGAAGCTTTCCAGCATCGGGCCCCCCACTTGTCAGGCTCTTCCTCTACGGCGACCTCCCTCCTCTGGTCTGCCCATGCTGCAGCCTGACCGTCGGTCAGGACCCATCTCAGGCTCTGCCCTCCGGTCTGCGTGCCCATGCTGCAGCCTGGCCGTCGGTCAGGACCCATCTCAGGCTCTGCCCTCCAGTCTGCGTGCCCATGCTGCAGCGTGGCCGTCGGTCAGGACCCATCTCAGGCTCTGCCCTCCAGTCTGCGTGCCCATGCTGCAGCGTGGCCGTCGGTCAGGACCCATCTCAGGCTCTGCCCTCCACAGGATGCAGCTCCTCCTGTTCCCATCCCCTGCCAGGCAGATGTATGTTCCGTCTCCTCTGGACTCCCACGGTGCTTTCTCTTTTTTGTTAAATTAATTTTTATTTTATTTGAGTACTTGTCTAATCTGCTCTGCTTGAATGTAACAATCTCTTTGAGCAAGTGTCTTGTACTGTAGTTTCCCTGGAACACTGTTCACAATGACATTTGTGCAGCAGTAAGGTGTAACAGCACCAGTAACAACAATGGCTACTAACATGTATTGAGCACTTGCTGTTTGTTGAGCACTGTTCTAATAAATTTTGATGAATTAACATGTTTAATCCTCTTACCCTGTGAGGGAGATACTACCCCTACACTGCAGGCGAGGATACAGGAAAGAGAACTTAAGTAGTGAGAAAGCAGCAGGATCGGGGTTTGAACCTCTCAGTCTTGACTTATTATGACTTAGGAGACTATATTCATTAAAAAAAATTTTTTTTTATTGAAGTATAGTTGAATTAAGGGGATGATATTATTAACCTTCCTGCTATGCTGCCTTTTAGTAGTACTCTGTAAATGAATCGTACAAGAATGATATTTTCTCTGGCTTGAATATCAACACAGAGGTAGAAATAGATAGAACAGCATGGCAACCCACGCTTCTGAATAGCAGTTTTTAATTTATGCATCATTTCATCTGACTGGATTTAGTAGTGAATCTACATAGCCTCTGAATACAGGTTGAAATATTTTCAGGAGAATATCTTAAATGACAGACAATCCCTCATAAAGCGGGCAGACTAGAGCTACCCTAGATATAAGTTCCCTGGTACACGGGTTAAAGAATTTTGAAAATAACTCTTGGTTAAAAAAGATTCTTCCAAATAGGAAACCAGTGGAATTATTTAAGCTTTTTCATGAGGATATTCTGAAGGAACTGAGTATCTTTAAATGTTTTAAACAACTATTTTCTGTAAATAAACTGTCCTTCTCCTCCCTCCTTTTTTACAAAGCAAAACCAGTTGTTGTTAACACCACCCCGGTGCGGATGTCCGTCCCACTCGTCTCAGCGCAGACAGTCAAACAAGTGAGTGTCACGCCACTTCTCTCAGTCTCTCCCAAACAGAAGTTTACCTCTAGAATTGAAAGTTAAGAAAAGATTTATTTATGTATTTTTATTAAAGCAGAGTTGATATACAATATTATATGTTACAGGTGTACAGTATAGTGAGTCACAGTTTGTAATAGTATACTCCATTTCTAGTTACTATAAAATGTTGGGTATATTCCCTGTGTTGTACAATATACCCTTGTAGCTTATTTCTGTGTAATGGTTTGGACCTTCTAATCCCCTCAGTGTAAGAGATTTCAACTGAATTGAGAAGCTATGAAATTTATTTTTGTGGTCCCTGATACACTGCCTTTCTTTGTAGGTTGTTCCAAAACCGATCAATCCAACTTCTCAGATAGTCACCACCAGCCAGCCACAGCAGCGGCTCATCATGCCTGCCACCCCACTGCCACAAATCCAGCCAAACCTCACGAACCTGCCACCAGGCACTGTGCTGGCCCCAGCTCCAGGAACAGGGAACGTGGGCTACGCAGTGCTTCCTGCTCAGTACGTGACTCAGGTATGGGCAGAAAATCCAGTCACTGCATTTCAGAAAGCTTACATGTGTGGGCGTGCATGCTCAGTCGACTGTTTGCGACCTCACAGACTGTAGCCCTCCAGGCTTCCCTGTCCATGAGATTCTCCAGGTGAGAATACTGGAGTGGGTTGTCATTTCCTACTCCAGGGGATCTTCTCAACCCAGGGATTGAACCCACATCTGTATTGGCAGGCAGGTTCTTTACCCCTGCGCCACCTGGGAAGTCTCCTTGGAAAGGTTAATCAGGTTTAAGATGTCTAGCATTGTCACATTCTAAAATTACTCAAAAACATGTAACTCGGTGTTGAAGACTCTGCCCAAAACCTTGACATGTTAATAAAACCTTCCAAGTTTGTTTTTATATATCTTTAGCATTTAGATATGTACAACGCAAGTCAGGTATACAAGTCAGGCAGTTTGGAGCTGAGAACAGTTTGGTGGGAGGGCACGATCTTGTAGATAGAAGAGGAAGTAGGTTGAGTCAAGATTAGCCATCCCAGTGAGTTTAGAAAGGGCTGTAATGAATAAGATGCCACTGACTTGTTCTTGGAAATTAGACTCTGAGATGTGTTTCCAAGTGACGTATCTGGTGGCCATCTCTCCAGACCTGGTCATCTTTAGATGACATCTGGTTATCTTTGGCATCAGAACCACATTGTCTGGTTGGCTGGCTTTCATTAGGAGTGCTGCTTTCTAGGAAGCAGATAGAAGAAGTTTTCCTTTTCATGTAAGAATCAATCCCTGGTATCTCAGATGGTAAAGAATCTGCCTGCAGTTGAGGAGACTCAGGTTCTATCCCTGGGTCAGGAAGATCCTCTGGAGAAGTGAGTGGCAACCCAGTCCAGCATTCTTGCCTGGAGAATTCCATGGACTGAGGAACCTGGTAGGCTACAGTTCATAGGGTCGCAAAGAGTCAGACATAACAGAGCAATTAACACTTTTATTTTTTTAAGCTTGTTGTTCAGTTTTGATGTATTCAGATTATAAGAGAGAGACAGGCAAATTTTTCTGTGTACGTTAAAGAAATGTACTTGGGAGTATAATATCTGGCTACGGGTTAAAAAAATTAGTGTTCACTATTTTTATCATTAGCATCTCTTATATTTAGAATCAGTACGAAATAGAAAATTACTATGCATATAACTTCTCATTCTCTATAACTTGTGATAAATGATCACAGTTTATTTGCAAGTAGACACATTGCATTTTTCTTGCTGATGCAAGTTACTATAGTATTTTCAGGACATTCATCGAGAATTTTCTAATTTTGATACAATTATTCCTCTGTGAAAGAATTTCTTCCATTTGTGCCATGTAGTACTTTAAAATGTTCACATTGTTTTTTACCTCTGGTATTAGTTTTGGGTCTTTAGAAGAGCTCCATAAGGTAGTAACTATTTTTGTATGAAATTTTCCTATTATTCCTATTTTAAGAGGTGATTTTGTGCTGCTTCTCCATCAGTATATTTAGGGATATTGTCCATTTTTGTAAACAGGGTCTAAAATTACCTTTCTTTATATGTAGCTACAGCAGTCTTCCTATGTGTCTATAGCAAGCAACTCTAACTTTACTGGAACACCTGGTGTCCAGACCCAGGCAAGGCTTCCGTTCAATGGGTGAGTTATTTGAATATGTTTTAAGTTGTTGTATCAGGTTAAATGCAGCATCAAATATCCATACATATTTCAAAATACATGTATTTGATTTTTCTCCCCTCAAAGCCACGTGAGCGTGCCCCTGCAGTACTTTTTATTTTGTAATACTTTAAACAGAAAAGTTACAGGAATCGTCAGAGAACTCCCAAATTATCTTTTACTCCCATTCACCAATTCAGCCGCAGGTGTTTTGTTATTTTCTATCTATTTTCTCTCTTTCTCCATCTCCTCCTGAATATGTCTGAAAATGATATTACCTAGTTTTTAAATTATTGTTTAGAGCCTTGCTTTTTTTCATTTATATGTATATTTTTTAATCCATTAATTGCTATCTTTATAATGTTGGTTGAGAAGCTTTAGTTAGTTGCATAGAACCAGTCTTCCCCTTCTCTCCCCTCCTGGATTCCAACTTCACACACCCTTTTCTATTTACTACGTTTTATAATTGAATCTCAAAAGAGTTTAGGAGATTTCAACTTTAGTTCTCTTAGAAGAGAGTACTTTTTCTGGATTGTTCTTTAGAAACTGTTGATAACTTCCTTTTCTCTATTTTAGTCCATATCTTGATTTTACCTTTCTTTTCACATTACAACTTGCTTTTTGAATTTAATGTATATGGAACAACATAGCAAACTTTTATTAGAGGTGGATATATTTGTTAAAACTTTATTTTAGGAGGAATTTACAGGTTAGACACTTTTCTAATTGTACATAGTTACCTTCGATTGATTAAAATGTGTATTTTTGTGTCTGTCTCTGTATAGCATAATCCCATCAGAGTCTGCCAGTCGGCCCAGAAAGCCCTGTAATTGTACAAAATCGCTGTGTTTAAAATTGTAAGTCTTGTTGCTACTGTTTTCTCATTTGATATAACTGAAAATGCTTTAAAAAATAAACGGAGCTAACTAAAATTCTTAACAGACCGGTTTCATAAGCCGTGAGTAAACAGACAGGTGACTGCTGGAGCACGTATGACAGTGCACACACGCTCCCGGTCGGGAAGAGAGAAGCAGTCTTAGGGCCTCTGCCCCAGGAAGGTGCAGCCGCAGACAGACTGGCCTCTGACCTTGCTGATACGCTTGCCCTCACTTAGGAGCTTTGCGTGTGGGCTCCTAAGTGAGATGGTGCTCTTGAGTAGTCTTTTAAATTGTTGGTTAATTTGCTTGTTAGTACTGAACTAAGAGATTTGACATGAAACACTTAAATAAAAAGCAAGGGTCTTATGAGGGTTTAGAATCCAAAGAAACACGACAAGAGTTCAAGTGAACATGTTCCACTAATAGAATATAGCACACGTTTTTCCTTTCTGTGATTTTGAAATAACTTACTTTTGAGTGCATGAAGTCACATAGCTCTTGTGTTGACAGCTGTTACTACTAGGACTAGGTTTACAAACCAAAATTCTAGGGGTTGGGGGCTTTACCTTTGAGCCCTGTCTTGTAGTTGACAATCAGTGTACGTTGTCAACTCTGTAAGTAAGTGGCTCTGCGTACATTTCTAAAATGCTTTACTGCATGTATAATGCTACTAAATAAGATAATTTCTAGTTTTGTGTTTCTTTAAACAATGACTTTTTTATGTGACTTACACTGATTTTTATATTCCAGATATTGTGATTGCTTTGCAAATGGTGAATTTTGCAACAACTGCAATTGTACTAATTGTTATAATAACTTGGAACATGAAAATGAAAGGCAAAAAGCAATAAAGGTGATTATTTTTTATTTCTTTTATCTGACAAGTTTCCCGTTTCACCTGTTTTTTGTTGAGCTCAAGTATTTTACAAAGAAAGTTAATTCCCTTTTGCAGAGTTGAAGTTTAATCTGTTGTGATTTAACATGGCTTGATATCTGATCTGTTTTGACAGGCATGCCTTGACAGAAATCCAGAAGCTTTTAAGCCTAAGATAGGGAAAGGGAAGGAGGGAGAATCTGATCGACGTCACAGCAAAGGATGTAATTGCAAACGATCAGGATGTCTTAAGAACTACTGTGAATGCTATGAGGTGAGACGGGTTGGGAAAAATTATCTAACCATCTTTTGAAAATAACTTTAGAAAGGGCATACAAAAAAATCTACTGTGGGACTTAACCTGGCGATCCAGTGGTTAAGACCCCGTGCTTCCACTGCAGGGGAACTAGGTTCCCCTGCAGGTTCGATCCCTGGTCGGGGAACTAGGATCCCGCATGCCTCACAGCACAGCCAAAAAAAAAGTTTATTTGTAAATTGGGAAATTACTTTACTTTTGCAGTTTGAAAATACTGCACTTGGAAAAGTCAGCCTTAATTTGAGGAAGACCTGCCTTCTGGCTTCCCAAGCAGGACTTCGGAGGAACAATACCTTCATTTTGTCATTACAGTTTGGGGTCTCACTGGCAGATTTATCAGCTCATAACTTCTTGTACCCAGAAGTATGCAAACCATAGTACCAGTTTATGGATTTTCAATAAAAATGACATCAAAGTGAATCGGAAACTGTAGTAGTGGTTCTCCACTGAGGGGTGTTACTACACAATTTCTCCCCCAGAGACTTTTTGGAAAAATACATGGATAACAACCTGCATCCCAGGGTACAGTCCTGAGAGTGTAGTCTTATCCTGCCCCAAATGCCACTAGTGCCCTGTTGAAGAACTCTGTAGAAAACGAAATTATGTTAGGAGGTTTGCCTTGTGAGCATAAAAGTAGGTAAGGAGGAATATGTAGTTGCTGGATAAGGTTACTGAACTACTGAAGGGTTTAGGGAATCCAGAGTGGAATGTCAGGAGGGAGAGGAATTCATAATAATAATAGCATCTGTGAAATCCCTTTAATGTGATACTGTATGTATGTGTTTGCATAAGCGGGATCACCAATGTGTTCATGGTGATTTGATTGAGGTGGCTGGATTATGGATGACCTTTATTTTTTAATATTGTAATGTATCACTCATATTTTTTAGAAAGAATATACGTTATTCATATCAGGAGGAAAATCTATAGTGAGGGGAAAATTGTATGGAAGGCCTCAATCAAGCATAGTATAGCCACTCTCAGAATGGCCAACAGTACTGGACCTGGCTACACGCAGAGCTGGCCCGTTGGGTGTTGCTAGCAAGAGATGTTTCCATTTTATTGTCTGTCCGTCGACCAGCTAACTCTGTCATCTGTTGACTTGATCACAGAATCTGTTGCAGTGATGTCCTGTGGTTTTTGTTTTCAGTTTTCACTGGCGTTCAGTTGCCTTACAGTGTTGTTAGTTTCTGCAGCACCGCAAAGTGGGATGAGCTGTAACACATATACATGTCGCCCCTTTGTCACCACAGGGCGCTGAGCAGAGTTCCCTGTGCTGGACAGTTGGTTCTCATTATCTTTTGGGTTTGATTTAGAAGCTTTCCTTTTGTAAATCTTTTAGGCAAAAATAATGTGTTCCTCAATATGCAAGTGTATTGGCTGTAAGAATTTTGAAGAAAGCCCAGAAAGAAAGACGCTGATGCACTTGGCAGATGCAGCTGAAGTTAGGGTGCAGCAGCAAACAGCCGCGAAGACCAAGTTATCCTCTCAGATTTCAGACTTGCTTACCAGGCCAGCACCAGCTTTGCATAGCGGAGGAGGGAAGTAAGTTGATATTTTAATAGCTTTTTATAGTATGATATACTCATTTCTGATAAAGTTTCTCTTGGGGGGCAGAATTGGGCTCATATTTTTGGTTGTTGCAAACCCGACTTTTCTATTTTCTACCATGAATTACTTGTGAAGGAATATAAAAGTAACAGAAAAATCACTGTCATATATAATATAGTTGTAAAATGCACAGTAAGGTTTTAGGTCACTGGGCTTATTAATTGGATTTCTTCCTACTCAGATGAGGTAATTATGTAATTTTACAAACCCTGAAAAAAAACAGAATTTTTGTACCTCTTACTGGTTGTTACTCACCTTTCTTCCCATTCTTACCTTCTCTTGCCTTTCCCGCGCCCCCCTGGCACTTTCCCCTGCTCACTGGAATACCTCACACACTGTATTATTGAAGCTCCTTTTCTTAGACTTCCGAGCTCTGGAGCAGGAAAGCTGGAGCCTTACTGTCGGGCCAGCCTGAGGTTTATAGTTCCCAGTGCTCTCGTGGTTTGTGACTTTGACAGGCACTTCATCTCTCTGAGCCTCACCTCAGTTTTCTTATCTTTACTGTCACCCTTTTCGTGTGGCCGTGAGGAGTCGAGGAAAGTTGGCAGGGTCCAGTGCAACAGAATCTGCTGACTTGAATTTGTATTTGAGTGTGTAAGAGGTTAATTTGAGGAATTATTAAATGGAATGAGCCTTGCAAACGGTATTTTATTTAAAATGCCTAGGTTGAAATAAGATCCAAATTATAAAACTTATAAAAGTAAGGCTTTTGTACAAAATATTTTGGATATTAATTCTAAAGAACTCTTACAACTGGCATATAATCAGCAAGAGGTTCTTGGACTGACTGAAGTAGAAGTGGGCAGACACGTTCATGAGAGGTACCACAAGGGGTCCTTTCTGGTCACCTGCTTCCTGTATACGCCTGTTAGTCATGACCAGCTGCATACTCCATAGGCAGTAGGCCACCAGGCTCCTCTGTCCATGGGATTCTCCAGGCAAGAATACTAGAGTGGGTAGCCTTTCCCTTCTCCAGGGGATCTTCCCAACCCAGGATTGAACCCGGTCTCCTGCGTTGCAGGCAGATTCTTTACCACTGAGCCACCAGGGAAGCCCAATCTAATATCTATGTGGAGATTAAAGATACTGCTACACTAAAACATTTACAAGTAATTTTTCAGCTCTGGAAAATGTTTGTTATTATGAAGTGTGAAAGAACACAAAATCATACTCTATAATCAAAACTTAAGTATAGAGACTTCCCCAGTAGTCCAGTGGTTATGACTTCATGCATCCAATATAGGGGGCAAGTGTTCAATCCCTGGTCGGGGAACGGAGATCCCACATGCCACGCAGCACAGCCAAAAGAAAAAAAAAAAAAACACTATAAGAAAAACTTGTAAGTATTAAAAAAGCCCTACTAGCATGTTAATAGGCTTTTGTCTTTGAGTGGCAAAAATTTGAATTTTTTTCTTTCCGTTTACTCTCCTATAGTTTCCAAATACTATATAATGAATGCTACTATTATACATTACTTAATTATACAATATTATTGTAATATTAACTTTAGTATGTTGATTGTTTCTAATTTAGAATTATAAGTTTTTATATTTTAATTCTAACTTTTTATATTAAAAAAATTTCCATTCAAGTGTATAGCAGCTGAAATCCTGTTACCCTGTCTTGTCATAGTGGGCCTTCATTTCTAACTTCATTCATTTGGTGGTTCCCTTTGATCAGAGACTGCTTGCTTCCAGGTTGTTTAGTGGTTAGAGTAGGTTACCTGATTTTTGTCTCTTAGGCTTTAAGACTTGGCTGTATATAGCTAGCCTCAGGATGGATTCCTCTGAGTTAATACTCAATAGTTTAGGTTTTTATGACTGAAACTTCCTGTACAGGACGGTATCTGTGCCCCCATTGTTTTGTTTTTGTTACTGAATAATGGGAAATTTTGGTGTGGTTTGTTTTTTTTACAAAAACATAAGGGACTATAGGAAAGTGCTTTATTTTCTTTGTTGTCCAGGAGATGACAGTGCTTTCAGTTTCCAACATTGCACATTTCATTCACTGAGCAAATACTTGTGGAGTGTCTGTGTGTCAGGCACCACTCTCAGAAGTGCAGAAACAACAGTAAGACAGACAAAAACTGCACTCAGAGCTTACACTCCTGAATCAGGAGGACTTTTGTTTTAGCAGTAGCCCGCCAACATGTACAATTACATCATTCAGTTAACCAGGTAATCTTGTCTAGGTCAGCGTATCTTATATCAAATGTTATATTTTAAAAATGTGAAGTTCTTTGGGATGTGCATGTGTTCATGGCACAAACTGTGATGTTCACTGTGCCTGCTGAATCATGAGAATGTAGACAGAGTTGTCCGGGTGAATGTCAGCCACTTCTGCCGATATGCAGCACCACCATCATCTCTTTCTCAAAAATCATTGCAGGTTGCCATTTACGTTTGTCACTAAGGAAGTAGCTGAAGCCACGTGTAATTGCCTTCTTGCCCAGGCGGAGCAGGCAGACAAGAAGGGAAAATCAAAGGCAGCTGCTGAACGGATGATACTTGAGGAATTTGGGCGATGCTTAATGAGCGTCATCAACTCTGCAGGAAAAGCAAAAAGTGACCCTTGTGCCATGAATTGCTAACTCTTGCACAAAAAACTGCTAAATGGAACTGTACAGAAAATTGAAGGTGCAGGGACACTTGATTTTTCTGGAAATAGCTTGACAATTATTGTATTGTTAATTCAGTCCTCGAGACCTGAAATTACATTGACGGAGAAGAAATTTTAAATGAGGAAATTAGTACATTTTAAATCTTAAATCTGCTTATGCCCCTTCTAAATTGAATTTTTCTTCATTGTGTTATATAGATTTTTAATTTGCTTGGGTTTCTTAAGAACTAGATGTTCTATCCTTTTGATTCTATTGACAAAGAACATTTATAAATTACTATTATATAATTTATAATGTATGGTGTTGTATGGCTTTATTCCAGTACAAAAAGCCAGAGTGGTACTGGTGTTACCCAGTCATTCTTTGGTACTAGCAGATAGAATGTCTGTATAAACAAATTCTTATGAAACATATTCAAATGACATTTTATGTTTAGAAAAGCACTATCTTTTTAAGAAAAATCAACTTTTTAGGGTGAATCCTGGAATAATATCCTGTTGTCAACTTTGGGAATTGTCAGAAGGGGAAATAATTTGTAGGCACACTTTTAAAATAAAAAAGTTATTTTGCTTTTTTAAAAAACATGAAAGTGTTACGGGACAGAAAATAATTCTCAAAAGATGGACAATTTGTTTCTACAATAAGGAGTGACTAAGAAAGGTTCTGAGATGTTTCCATTTTCTTTCAGAGAGGCGGTATGTATTTGAAATAATAAATTGTCAGTGATTAAGGGGTACTATTAAGATGAATGGTGCATATGAATAGAAGCAAACATATTATGTAGTGATAAAGTAGAACCTTACATAATTATCAGGTATGAAATTTGACTTAGATGGAGAAATAAAGGGTATTGAAGCTCTAAGAGATGAATTTAGAGGAGGATTTTTCATCTATACATACAGTTCTCTTTATAGACTTTTGAACTAAGAGGTTTCAAACCAATGTATGGCTCTTACTTGATTTACTGAAAGGGGCCTCCTAACAAAGCTTTCAGAATTATAGTGGGGTTTCTTTTTATAAGGGAAGCTTAATATGGCATTATTTTTAGCCAGTGATTTGGTAAGCCTACAGTATGAGTGTTTTCATATAATTACTAAAATAACATAAATCATTTTCAATAATTCAGAATTCAGAAGCTTTATGAATTTAAGAGCCCATTATAATAGGACTCTGGATTTTATGAGAAAAAATCATGTTGGAATTCAGGCATTTTGTTTGGTACCTTAATCCTCAGTAATTAGTAGTATATGATTATTACATTTCCTACAAGGAATCTATAGTTGTATGTATTAAGTGTGTATATATGTTCATATGAACATGCAAGATATAGGCAATAGAAACTAAGTAATCCAAAAGAAGATTCCGTTATTAAGTATCTTCCTTTTGAAATTTGGATTTATAAAGTCATAGTGCAGTAACTTTAAATGTAGATAGTGTAGACATTCTTAGCACCTCACTCTAGTATGTTTAATTAAAATTTGTATAAATGTAAATTAGTGTAAGAGGATAAAGTAATATCTAATCAAGTTATTTTTCAAAAGATTACCTTTTTGGTCTACACCTAAACTGTGTTCATTTTGTACATATTCTGTGTTTAATTCTAATTGCACCTTTGTGATGTGTATTTATATACAGTGTGCATAAAATGTTTGTGAAATTTGGATTACAATTGTAGATTATGTATGATGGCATTGCTTGAGAATGTTTTGCTTGTAAAAATTTGAAGGTGCAATCAAATGCTACTAGTTTTTCTGATTTTCAAGAAGCTATCTAAAGTATTAAGCCTTTTCCTTCCTGTGTAGTACTTACTAAACAACTTTTTGTATTTAGGCATTTGCATCAAATTGCTGAACAAGATTAATATCCACATTAATTCAACAATTTTAAAAGACTATTTGGGGAGGGTTGGGTATATAATTTTTTAGCTCTATTTACATCCCAAAGTAGAAAGATAAAATTTATATTTACTAGAGCTATTCAAAGAATACACTTTTCTATATTGTAAAAACAGGAACAGCAAAGTAAATCATACAGAAAATAAACATTTATACTATTCTGTAAAAAGAAGGTTTTGCATTTTTTTCTTTAATACCACTTTTAACTATTGAACATGCAATAAACCTTTAAAAATATCTCATATGAAATAAACTTGACATTACTTCTGAAGGCACACAACTGAAAAATAAACCTATCATTTTGCTCAATTATGAACATAAATTGTGAAATGAGAATATCTTCTTATTTCCACTGTTCTTTTAAGTAGAAACTCAACCTACTCTCGTTCCTCTTCATGTTTGATGTTCTTATGGGGAGCACCTTAATTTCCTTTTCTCAAGAACTGTAGGTCTTACCTCTGGACTGTGTGGGAAAACAGAAACTTAATGTTGCAGGTAATAAAACAAGTGACGTTGGGCGACAGACAACTGCTTTAGCTTCCTCATTTTTTTGATATGGACAACTGACATTTTCTCAGTCTTATGTAAAATGTGAATAAAAATACCTTTAGAAAAGTTTTCTATATTTACTGTTTTATAACACAAATAACTAAGATGATGAATACTTGTTAATGTAAATGCAGCTTCAAACCAGGACCTCCAGCCCTGTGATCATACTGCATCCTTAAGTATTAATATTTTATATAGGAATTCTGGAGCAGCAGCTCAAAGGAGAGGGAAGTGAATCAGCTAAGAAGCCTTTATTACTGTAGTTACTTTTCATTATGGTAATACTTAGGAATTTTTTTTTTCCTTGTTAGGGCTTCTCTAATGCCCATTTTTTCCTGTATCTATAGACCAAATGTGAACTTTCTATAATCCAAGTAACTTTATAAAATACTGAGTTATAAAGGCTTTGATTAAAACTTTATTTTAAAATTGTTTTATAAAAGCATTTAAGGCATTTTTGGTTTTTTCAAAAACAAAAAGTATATTCAGGGTGATGTTTATTATAAGGCCACAGACTTTAATTTAACTGTAATTTAGTGAAACAGTGACAGATTTTATTTTCTTGGGCTTCAAAATCATTGTCGACGGTGACTGCAGCCATGAATTTAAAAGACGCTTGCTCCTTGTAAGAAAAGCTATGACAAACCTAGACAGCGCATTCGAAAGCAGAGACATCACTTTGCCAACAAAGGTCCGTATGGTCAAAGCTGTGGTTTTTCCAGTGGTCATGTACAGGTGTGAGAGCTGGACCACAAAGGCTGAGCGCCTCAAAAGTGATATTTTCGAACTGTGGTGCCAGAGAAAACTCTTGAGAGTCCTTTGGACAGCAAGGAAGTCAAACCAGTCAATCCCAAAGGAAATCAACCCTGAATACTCATTGGAAGGACTGAAGTTGAAGCTCCAGTACTTTGGCCCCCTGGTGCAAAGAGTCAACTCATTAGAAAAGACCTTGTTGCTGGGAAAGATCAAAGGCAGGAGAAGGGGATGACAGGACAAGATGGTTGGATGGCATCGCCGACTCAATGGACCTGAATTTGAACAAGCTCCAGGAGATGGTGAAGGACAGGGAAGCCTGGCGTGCTGCAGTCCATGGGTTGGACACGACTTAGCGACTGAACAACAACAAAAATCTGACAGTAAATAGAGTACATCATGAACAGGCTGGGTTTACCCCAGAAATAAAAGACTGACCCAACATTCAAAGAAATCAACGTAGTTCAGCATACAAAAGAAAAACAATCATCTCAAAAATTGCAGAAAACAGCCTTTTGACTATACCAACTACTACTACATTTAAAAGGGTGAATACTATGGTATGTAAATTAGATCTCAAAAATTCCCCCCCAGAAACGTACAGAAAAATCATCTGAGAAAATTCCAACACCCATTTATGGTTTAAACAAAATCTTCAGCAATTTAGGAATAGAAAGGATCTTCAACCAAAAAGCTTTTTGGTACATCACAAGAATGGTGAGGACTGTGTTTCTCCCTAAGATTGGGAACAAAACAATTCCTGTTCCGTGTTGTATCTGAGGTCACTGTACAATAAGATTTTCTTTTCTTTTTTTTTTACAAAACGGCCATAGATTGGGAATGAATAAATATGACAGTGTCTATTTGTGGATGGTGTGATGTGATTGCCTATATAAGGAAAGTCAAAGGATCTTAATAAAAAGGTACTAGGACTAACAAGTGCATTTAGCAATATTAGTATGCAAAAGTATATTTCTACATAGTAGCAATGAACATTTAGAAACTGAAATTCTGAAATTATCATTTATAGCAGCACCACAAAACATGAAACACAACGTAGCAAAAAGAAGTACAAGATCTGTATGTGAAACAAAAACACTGATTACAAAAATTGAAGATCTTTTATATATATATATATATAATTTTCATGGTTTGGAAGTCAATATTAAGATATCATTTCTCCTCAGCCTATAGATTCAACATAACTCCAGTCAGAATCCCATAAGGAATTTTTGTAAAAACAAGCTGATTATAAAATTTACATGGAAAGGTACAACTAGAATAGCCAAACATTTTTTATAAAAGAACAAAGTTGGAAGACTCCTGCCCGACTTCAAGAATTATATAAGGCTAATCAAGGTAATGTGGTGTTGATGAAAGACCCATGGATCAAGGCAACAGAATACAGAGCCCAGAAATAGATTCGTATTTATGTGGTCAATTTTTGACAAGGGATCAAAGGTAGTTTACTGGAAAAGAATAGTCCTTTTAACAAATGGTGCTGGGATACCATCAGTATGTAAAAATATGAACTTCTACCACACACGAAAGTCAACTGAAAATGGGTCATAACCTAAATGCAAAACCTAAAACTGGAAAATATCTACAAGAAAACATGGGAAGAAAAGTCTGACTGGTTTAGACAAAGATTTCTCAGATAAGAAAGTAAAAAGTATAATCCCTAGAAAAATCAATAAATTAGGCTTACTAAAATTAATGTCTGTTCTTCAAAACATACTAAAAAAGTAAAAGCCACATCATAAACTTTAAAAATTGTGAACCACTCACTATGTTGTACACTTGCAGCTTACACTGTACATCAGCTTTACCTCAGTAAAATTTTAAAAGCCATAGACTGGGAGAAGATATTTGCAAGATATATCTAATAATGTACTTTATCCAGAGTATTTAACTAACTGTTTTTATTTCTTAACTTTTCAGTAAGAAAATAATCAACCTTCTTTAAAATAGAGGCAAAAGACTTGAACAGTCATTTCACCTAAGACGACAGTGACTGGCAAATAAGCATATGAAAACATGTTCAGCATCATTAGTCATTAGAAAAAGAAATGAAAGCCACAATGAAATATCATGGCACACCCATTAGAATGGCTAATTCAAAACAGAACCCTGACAATACCAAGTGTTGGGGAGGAAGTAGAGGAACTAGAACTTTTCATATATTTCTGGTTAATGTACTGCATGGAACATCACAGCAAAAGATAGTTTGTTACAATGTGAAACATATACCAGTTGACCCACGGTATGAATACGGCACATTTTTTATGTATCCATCAGTTGGACATTTGGACTTTTTAGCTATTTTAATGTTCTGAAATTTGTACATTTCTCTTGGGTATATGCCCGTTGGTAGAGCTGCTGGGTCATTTGGCAATTCTGTGTTTAACTAAACTTCTGAAGAACTGCTAGGCTGTTTTCCAAAGGGTGTGCATTCCTACCAACAGTGTATGAGGGTTCTAGTTTCTCCACATTCTTGCCAACGCCTTTTATGTGTCTTTTTTTATTACAGCCATCCTAGTGGCTATGAAGTGATATCTCATTGTGGTTTTGATTAGCATTTCCCAAAAGGCTAATGATGTTGAGCACATATTCATGTATATCTCCTTTGAAGAATAACTTTGTATTCTTTACCCATTTAAAAAATTGGGTTGTTATCCTTTATTATTGAGTTCTTTGTATACTCAGATACAAGTCCTTTACCAGACACATGATTTGGAAAATGTTTCTATGGCTTGTCTTGTACTTTCTTGATGGGTGTGCTTTAAAGCACAAAGTTTTCAGTTTTGATGAAATTTTTGCTTGTACTTTTGGTGTCCTATCTAAGAAGCTATTGCTGAATCCAAGTCTCCACTATTTTATTCTAAGTTGTTTTACCTCTTACATTTGTGTCTTTGTTCCCTTTAGAGTTAACATATATCCAGTTATATATCCAGTTATTCCAGCACTATTTGTTGAAAGTAGGAAGGATACATTTCTGAATATTTGTTTTCTCTGAAGACGAGAAAGAACAAGGGTGCTGAGTAGAAACTGTAAGCTATTAATTACCCTAATCAAGTGTGAACAGAAAGTTCACTGTGAAGCGTATCATATCAAGTAAGTCTGACATGAGACTTGGAACACTGCACTAAGGCAAGACAATTAACTGTGCTAATGGCAGTGATGGAAAGATTCTTGTCTTCAGGGTTTGTCCAGTTTATACTCAGCACTTAAATAAATGCAAAACACTATTTTAATAAATTACACAGGACATGGGTCAGATGTAACAGCAGAGAACCTAAGACACTACAGACATGAACCTAATTTTAAGTAAAAATAAGTACAAAACTTGAATTTATATAAGCAATAAGTTAAAGGTGGTGACATAAACAGGCTTCCTTTAAATAAGATTTTTCCTGGTGCACCTAAACTCATTCTACTGCAAACAAAACAAAACCAACAGTATTCAGACTTCTTAGTAATATCTCCTTATAAAATGCAATACAGGACAGTTCTGGTTACAGTTCAAAACAAGCCTTTGTTTGAGGTAGACCCAGCATAAATATATCAAAATATACTATTTATGGGAAATTTCAGTTTTAATAAAACTGAAGTTTTACCTGTCCTTAATCTTTTACAACTTTGTCTTCATATTAACTGTACTCTATGAACATTAACTTAATGACAATGAGATATTTTACATACACAGGTGAATAATGTGTTCATTTTTTTTTCCCCATTAAAATACCCCCATTTTTGAAAGTACATACAACTATATGTTTTTCTATTTTACCTTTTCAGATCTGGATATGACAGAACGGAGAAAATTGTTCTTAGTATGTTTCCATCTTCAGATTATTTAAGCTTCTCCCAAATTTCTGAAAAATCTCATTATGTGGTTAAGACAAACTTTTTCATACTCTACCAACTGACCATTTTTTCCCCAATTTGTTTATCATATGATATGAAACACCATTATGCCAAACTGAAAACGTTTCATTATTATCCTCTTCAGAAGAAGTTGAAATAAAGGCTTCTTTTCATTCTCTGATGAGCACTGTGCTCCTCCAGTAGGAGTCAAGTGTCCACTCTTATTAAAGGTAGTAGTGTGAAGTCCAGACAAATGGGCTGTGAAAATTACATCACCTGCATACTCCCCAGACAACATTTTCGAGCTTGGTTGTAGCACAAGGAGTGTCCATTTCATGGCTCATGTGTTTACCTTCTGCCTAATAGTTTAATTATTTCTATTTAAAGGTACCCCAGCAAAAGGATTTTTGTAGTGTTTGGTATTTAACTTGGCCTAATTTTCATGTGTAAGTAAACTATATTCACAGTTTGATGGGTATTCTGTTAACAGTCTTTTTTTTTTTTTTTAAGTGTTATTCTTAAGAGTTGTAGACCAAATCTCTTTCTGTGAATGTAGTCTTTATAAAAGGAGTCAATGTTTTAGAGACTCCTTTGTCATTATTCTCACTTTTTAAAAATTTTATTGGAGGATAACTGTTTTACAATATTGTGCTCGTTTCTGCCATTCTCACTTGTTTTTAAAGTATGTCCAGTTGAATTACTCAGTTGGATAGTGGTAAATTCAAACACAGCACCCATTGGCTAGTCTATTCTTACTGACTTCCCGCTTTCTACATTTTAGGTAACTCTGAAATGCTTGTAAGCCCTACCAAATTCCATGCAGATTTGATAACGTACATAATAGAAATTCCTAAGACATAAACACAAACTTGTCCACTGTGCAGAATTTGTAAAATATTGTCAGTTGAATTTTAAAATAAATGTTGACCAATTATTTTTAATAAAAATGTTAATATATTTTAGGTCCTTCATTTGAATAGTTATCTATTGTTCCTTAGCAAATGCCTGCATTTATTGGTATTTGCAAAACTTGAACATCTGTAATTCTGTGAAGATGACCAGTGTTTCCTTGACAAAGTTTTCAGCTCAATTCTTTCTGAGTGGTGTTTTAAGGAGTACTGAGTTATATCTTTAGCTCTGATCTTTAAGAAACAGATTATGATATCCTTTAGCAACTTTACAAAGTGATTGATGGCACATACTTCTCCATCAAAGAGATGCTCATCTAACTCTACAAAAAGATAAATATGCCCAGAAAGCTCATATAATATTTTCTGTTGAAGGTAAAATTCCCTCTGTTTGGGAAGCAGTGGTTCATGAACTGTCGGCTTTGAATGGGTTCTCACAACTCGCTCACAAGTATTTATGACTCGGCACAAACTTTCAGAAGGGAAATGCACACCATTCTCCTTTTTAACACATAACAGGGATCCAATTTTAGAGGCTTTGAGATCCGATGCATACAACGCACTGAGGCAGTCCTCACATGTTAAAAGAGCTGATAACTTATTGGCAATATAACCAGCGTAGGAGGTGAGATTTCGCCTACGAACTGACAGATCTAGTAATGCCTCACTTAGCAAACAGTCAGACCAGTCTGGGCAAATATCCTCTTTGTAAAAAAGACTCTCTATAACGCTGACACCATACTCACGCTGAACTGTGCCGAGGGCCAGGTCTGTCCTTCGAGCAATTGAAATGTCAAGGCTGCTTACTTCACTTAGAAAGACCTCATCTTGTAATCTGTGTCTGGTCTCCAAGTTATGGTAAGCTTTCTGGAATGCCATGCAGGTGGGGTTAGAAGTGGTTACTGATACCTGTCTGAGCATCTTTAGAAATAATTCCAGATGATCCTGACTGAATTTGTACATCAGGAGATAGGGGAAAGGCATGACTTTGGGGAAAACATAATTTTGGTAGAGCCATTTTAAGCTCTCAGCATTAAGCAAAAATCCCAGGAATCCCAGTTTTCGCTTACCTTTAAGGATTTGATTATTGCCAGTGTCAGATAATGTAACAAAAATAGTCTTGGCTTCAGTTAACACATGGTTGATTTTATTAAAAGTTTCAGGTAATAGAGGTCCTTTAAATCCCTTTCCATAAAAGTTCCTACTATTAAGAATGTCAAACAGATTGTTAATTAAGCGTAAGAAGTGGATGGTACCAACACAGTTCTGAAAAGGAGGCAGGCCCAGTGATAGCAAACATTCTAATGCCCTGACCACACTCTCACTGAAGACCTGGCTGGCACAATTCGTTTTCAGTATGTGGTTCTTCAGATTTGCAAGTCTTCTTGGGATTCTCTCCATATGTGATAATTCCTGTTCCTCTAGTGCTGCTAACTCCACAAGGTGCTGCCAATGTGCTGTGCCGTTGATAAACTGAATGCTTTGGAAATTCTGAAATGCATTTCTTATTAATTTAAGCAAGTGGCAAGAATCAAAGAAGTAGGCAATCTGTTGGCTGGATGATGAAGGATGCTGAAATGTACACTTCATGTTGTCTCCGTCAAGATGTATCCCCAGTGCCCTTGCCATCTGAACACTGTGAGCTGAGGCATCAGATGTGACAGCCAGCACTGTGATCCCTATGTCACTTAGCTTGCCAATCGTCAGACGAAGCAGCTGAGCTTGCAAATATCCAGAGGCCCTGTTTACAAAAAAATAACCGAGAAGTGTGCTCCAGTGACCAGAAATACCCACTGCCATGAGCAGAACAGTTTCTGAGGCGAGTGGCATTTCGTCAGCATCAAGGGTGCCAAGACCGAAGTCCATAAACCCTTGCAGATGGTGACTGTTGGGGTCCCACTGAAGCTGCTGCGTGAGAGACAGACCTTTTATCATCAGTGAACAAGACTGATATCGCTGGTCTCCATTCTCTACTTTTTGCTGAAGAAAAGAAAAAACGTTGCTGTTGAAACCTGGACCAGGTTTGCATTTGGACAGCCATCTAGAAAATGTAAAAGATGAAAAATATAAAACACAGAAGAAGAGGGACTTTCCTGGTGGTCCAGTGGCTAAGACTCCCCGCTCCTAGTGTAGGGGGCCTGGGTTCGATCCCTGATCAGGGAACTGATCCCACGTGCTGCAGCTAAGACCTGGTGCAGCCAAATAAATGTTTTTTTAAAAACCACTAATGAAGGCATTAAACAAGGGGAAATGCCTTAAATGGTTCTAAAGTAGCCTCAACTCCCTACTGAAATAAATTCAAGTAGCCAAATTGTACCCACACTTTCAAACATATGTTCCTGTTGTTACCTCAAACATATGTTCCTGTTGTTACCATAAAACAGTAAAATAATAGAGAAACTTGAGTGTGTGCACTCAGTTAGGTGCTCAGTCGTGTCCAACTCTTTGCAACCCGATGGACAGAGACCTCTGTCTACGAAATTTTCCAGGCAAGAATAATGGAGTGGGTTGCCATTTCCTCCTCCAGGGGATTTTCCCAACCCAGGGATCGAACCAGCATCTGTTGCATCTCCTTCATTGGCAGGTGGATTCTTTACCACTGTGCCACCTGGGAAGCCCCAGTAGAGAAACTTAAACAGAACAGCATTCTTTAAGACACATACCACAAAATAATTGTAAACTTCTTATTCACTTAAAAGAAGTGTACAAATCAATTACCTGGTTTGTTCTAATTGAGGTGTTTATCATTTAGATCATAAACCAGCCTTACCTGTATATTCACTGAAATGAGAAGACTGTAGAGGGGAAGAAAACTTGAGAAACCGCGTGCCTCGACCTCACTTTACCAATGGGGAGATTGCGAGGCCGCTGCTGTGCTGTGCTGTGCCTAGCTGCTCGGTTGTGTCCGACTCTCTGCAACCCCATGAACTGTGGCCCGCCAGGCGCCTCTGTCCATGGGGATTCTCCAGGCAAGAATACTGAAATGGGTTGCCATGCCCTCCTCCAGGGGATCTACCCAACCCAGGGACTGAACCCAGAGGGAGAGGGTAAGATGCCTGGCCCATGCTGTGCTGCTGGTCATGCACAAACAGGAAACAGCTTTCCTGAGACCCTCGTTCAGTGCTTTCCTGACTGCTCTTTACAGGCAAATTATGCCCTTTGGGACAATTAAGTGCCTGCTAGCTCCCAATAAAAGTACATATACTGTGATATTTATCTTAGGAGTTTGGTTTTTTTAAAATTATCTTGGGCTGCACTGGGTCTTCGTTGCCGCCCGAGGACTTTCTCCAGTTGCAGAGTGGGGCTACTCCTTGATGCGGTGCACGGGCTTCTCACTGCGGTGGCTTCGCTTGTTGCAGAGCACCGGCTCTGGGTGCGTATGTGCTCAGTGGTCGCAGGACACGGGCTTAGTCACCCTGCAGCATGTGGGATCTTCCCGGACCAGGGATCGGATCCATGTCCCCTGCACTAGCAGGGAGATTCTTAACCACTGGACCGCCAGGGAAGTCTAGGAGTTCTGTTACAGTTTCCTTGACCTTCCCAGGCTGCTGATAATTCTCTCCTATTATCAGTACTTCATCAGTTCTAATTTACTCTAAATTGCTACAGATCAGGAAAGGAAGGAGTCAAGTTTAATAATTGTCAGTTTACTTTTATAACTCTCAAATGACTTTTTTTAGGTTGAATTTTTGATTTGGGGGCTATATTCTAGGTTGCCAAGATTACTTACTAGACTAGCCGATCTCTATTTAATTAAAATTTTAAAGTATGTTTCCATATATTTCAGGACAGGGCTTTCCAAATATTTTGCTGCAATCTGAAAGCGTTAGTTGCTCAGTCATGTGTGACTCTTTGTGACCCCATGGACTGTAGCCCGCCAGACTCCTCTGTCCATGGACTTCTCCAGGCAAGAATACTGGGGTGGGTAGCCATTCCCTTCTCCAAGGGATCTTCCCGACCCAGGGATCAAACCCAGGTCTCCTACACTGCAGGTAGATTGCTGCAACCCAGAATTTTCATAAACAGAATTTACCCTTATTATATGCCATATCCTTACTATATGTATGTGTGCATATAAATGCATATATAAAATTTAATGTGAATTATGACACAATTGATTTTAAGATGCACTAATAGATTTGAAAAACAATTATAGGATGTAAAAGACATACTGTAACTATTTAGGAGGCAAAAATATTAATTGGTTGTTTATATTTTAAAATAGGGCAAAATAACACAATGAGAAAACATACAGTAGCTCTCGACCAGAGTGCTACAACTCACTGGTATGGTGAAAAACCCTTTTCAAGCATGTCACCAAATTTTAAATCAAATAAAATTTATTCTTTTGCATTATGATTCTCAAATGAACTCTAAAGATGCTAACTGTGTTACACATACAGTAAGTATATAATGAAACTCTCTAATACTTCTAAGTAAGAGTTCTAGCTTAAACAGGTTAAAAAAGTTGATGTTCTGGTGAGCTTGCCTTTTAAATGGAAATCTGAATGATACCTTAATGTCCACAACTACTAGACTGAAGCTTATCAGGCAGAAAAACAAGTGAACTTCTTCATTTTCTTTAAGTTTTTATAACTTAGAGTAGAAATACCCAAACCAGGTTTTTACAGTTGTAGGGAAGCAACTGATTTCTCTCTCACACCAACTTTTCCCCTGACTCAAAGTGAAAAAAAATTTTTTTTCTGGTCATATAAAGTGACACTTTCATTTTTTTTTAAATAAATGAAACAATACAGAAAAGTACAAAATGGAAAGTAAAAGAAAAAAAATCACTCTTAATAGGTGAACTTTTTAAAACTAACAGACTCACAGACATAGAAGACAAAAGTATGGATCCCAAAAGCAAAAAGCCAGAAGGGATAAATTAGGAATCTGGGATTAACATATACACACCACTCTGTATCAAACAGATACACAACAAAGGCCTACTGTACAGCAGAAAGAACCACGTTCAAAACCTTGCCATAACTGATAATGGAAAAGACTCTGAAAAAGAATATATATATACAAATAACTAAATCACTTTGCTCTACGCCTGAAGCAAGACAACACTGTTCACTGTAAATCAACTATGTGTGCTAAGCTGCTTCAGTTGTGTCCGACTCTGTGCGACCCCATGGACTGCAGCCCGCCAGGCTTCTCTGTCCATTGGCTTCTCCAGGCAAGAGTACTGGAGTGGGTTGCCATGCCCTCCTCCAAGGGATCTTCCCAAATCAACTACACTTCAATATAAATAAATAAATTTTTAAAAATCACTTAATATTTTAAAGACATTCTTCCAGATCTTTTTCCTTACATCTGTTCACAATCCTAAATGCCCATCCAGGCATTCTTTCATTCCATAAATATTTATCGAGCGACCACTGTGTTCCAGGCACCCTGTCAGGGCAGGAGCTGTAACACAGAACCAGATGCAGACCTCATACTTGAGCAGCTCAGTCGCATGAGGCAGACAGTGTCTGAAGTACTCAGATTCAGTTCCACATTGTGAGTGCAAGAGGGCACCTCGGCCACAACCGGAGGAGAGCAGGCAGGGCTTCAGAAAGGATGTGTCATCTGATCTGAGTCTGAAGGGTGAGGGCTAACATCCAGGACTAACAGGGAGAATGGGCATATCAGGCATATGGAGGAGTAAGTCTCCAAGGTCAGAATCAGCAAGAAATGCCTTATAGAAGGAACATGGACTCTAAGAGGGCAGGGAAGGAAGCAGGAGATGAGCCGCAGAGCCCAGCAGAGCCACGTTTCATGACAGAGGCTCCGGGAGCCAGAGGAAGGAGTAGTCTACAGTCTCCAGGTAATGGAAGACCCAGGCAGCAGGAATGTGACTGGTGTGAATTGCATTGTGTGCCTTGAAAAAGATGTATCGTCAAGCCGACCCCCAGCTCCTCAGAGTGTGCTCTTATTTGGAGGTGGGGATCTTTACTCATCAAGTTAAAATGAGGTTGTTAAGGCACACCCTAATTCAACATGACCGTGTCCTCATAAGAAGAGGAAATGTGGACACAGAAACACACCTGGATAATGGAAGACAATGTGGAGCAACACAGGGAGAAGACCACCATCTATCAGCCAAGGAAAGAGGCCTGGAACAGACCCTCACCTCACAACCCCCAGAAGGAACTAACCCTGCCAGCCCCTTGATTTTGGACCTCTGGCTTCCAGAAGTGTGAGGCAATACACTGCTGCCATTTGAATCAAATAAATAAAAATAAAGGGACCTGTAAAACCAATGATTTTAAGTAACAGTGAATAGTGAGTATTAAATTTATAAGGCATCACAGTCACTGTGGTTTTTTGCTTCCCACTAAGAGAAAATAATAGTGGAGGACAGGGAAGCCTGGTGTGCTGCAGTCCATGGGGTCGCAAAGTCAGACATGATTTAGCGACAGAACAACAACAAGAGAAAATAAATAGATCTATGTATTTTGATCACGGATCCTAAAAAATTCTTTTTCATAATCTGTTCTCTGGACAACTGCACTGGCATCAGTGATCTGTGCCTCAAACCGATGGTATCAGTCTAGAAAATCTTCTAAACTAATCACATATTAAAACTACTGAAGTATATGAGAAATTCCACTATTTCAAGATTCAAATTTTACCACCCAGAGGGTCTCTACCATCTGAAAGATGAAAAAAAAAAAATTGTCAGCTTACATGTCCTCATTTTGCTGATCAAATATCAAGATTGTGATGCTAAAAGTTTTTAAAAAGAGAAAGTGGATGAAAGGAAGAGTATGAATACAAACAGTGTTAGTGGATAAACTGCAAGAAAGAACAGTATGTTTTTTTTACATCGAAAAGGTAACTCACTTACGTTCTGAGGATGGAAGAATGAGGCAGCTTAAGAATCTTTCTTACATAATCATAGACTTTGCTACCGCACAAGTAGAGTGTACATGCAAACTGCTTCATTTCTGCGGAGTACTCAGCTGTTTCTCTCCAGTTATACAACTCCCACTTAAAATCTGTCAAGAGTAAATTTATTCCTTGTGATGAAAAATGTGTACAGTAACATTTTCAGACACAGATCATAGTATTTGGATATAAAAATGTGCTAGGCACCAAAATTCAAATATAACCACCTTTTAACTGAGTAGGTTCAGAGGTTACTATCCAGTCTTAGAGACTATCAAATTTATCTTGTTCATTGTGCATCATTTCACTAAAAGAGGGATGAAAAAGGTTCCAACTTAAGTTATTATGTTCTACTATTCATTAGCAGCCTATGTGGATATTTTTGGAGGAACAGGGTAGAAAATGAAATAAGTGAGTAAAATTAAATCTCTGGATTATGAGGACATTCATTTGTTTTAGTTTGTTCCTTGGTTACCATTTATCTGAGAGTAAAAATTAGACATAAGAAACATTTTAAGGGATATGGTATATGGCATTAATCAGAATGAACAGACAAATCTCTCCCACCATTGAGAAAAAAAAATTCTCTGTTCCTGGTGAGAACCCCTATTTATAACCTATATCCCCCACCTGGAAAAACACATAAAATATGCTCCTCCACTGGAGGTATCTACTCCTTTTGACATGCTTCTTCTTCTTCTTCTTTTTTTTTTTACCAGAATTCAAGTCCAAAAATCCCTACTCCTTACATCAAAGAGTATGTTGGCAATTCTTATGTTACCCCTCTTCAAATATCCTGGTTCACGAAGAAGACTAGGTAGTCTTTCAATGGACATACATATACTCTATAGAGTATTTCAGAATTAACTTTGGAGACTTACACAATTTTCAGACTCAAAGAGATTTTGCAAATTATGTAGTTCAATTCATTGCAAAAAAGGCTTTAGTGATAAATTATGTAGCAGTTAAAACTGCTTACAAAGAATCTGCAGTGACAAGAGTGTGACTATAAAAAGGGAAAAGTACAATATATGGTATAAACTATATGATCTCATTTCTGGGTTGTAGGATTATGTGTTAGTTTTATCATTTATACATTTCTTTGCTTTTCCTATAATAAACATAGACAACTATAACAAGATCTTGGTGATTATTTTTCATTTTTCTTATTTACGCTAGAGACCCTCCGGCTAAAGGCATATTTTCATAGGCAATACAAAATAAAAATGTAATGATATTTCATTAAAATTAGGAGCTGTGCAGTAAGTATTACAGGTCACTGGGGAACATACCAGAAAATTGTGCTCGTAGCAGACATTCTGTTTCCTCTGTAAGTAGCTTCTCTTCTATAAGCGCATCAATTAGTCGTAAGCCTTTTCTCTTCTTGATCATCCTGTAGTTTTTCGCAGAAGCAAGTCTTTTTTTGGACACTTGTAGCATCTGCTGCACCTCAGCTAGTTTCTCTGCTCCTATTGTCAGAGGTCTCTTTAAACTGTAGTTATGGTCTTCAGTAGCAACCTCTTGAGAATTATCAGGAAGTGGCTCTTTTAGGATTTTCTGTCTTGCTTTACCTTTAAGGTGTACACCTTGGAGAACCTAGGACACAAATGGAAAATGAGGTTTATTTTAGAAATTATCACACAATGATTATCTATTAAAATAGCAGTGAATACAAAGCACTCACCTGGCTGCCGTGGAGAGTTAGTTATGAAAGAAAAGGTAATAATCTCTGATTTTTAAAAATGTATAGTCTCCAGGACAAGGTACACAAGTTTTTTGGGGGTGGGATCTATACAGAAGTGGTAGCATAATGCTGAGTCTCTGAAATGACTGAAGTAACTAGTGAAAGGTGGTGATAATTTGGGAAGGTTTTGAGTTGTTCTTTGAAAGAGTAATAACATGGTTAATGAAGGGGACTGGGAAGTTATTTGTGCAGAAAGGAAGGCATAGGACAGAGCATGGGCCTTGGAAGTAAGACTCCTGGCTCCCTCACTTAAAGCTGTAACTTAACCTCTATAATCCCTCAACTTTTCATGTATAAAATGTGGATAACAATACAGAGTTGACTTGAGGCTACAATAAGCTAATTTACATAAATTGCTTAGTGCACTGCCTGGACCATGTGGGTCTCAATAAATTATAACTATTACTGATTTTAAACAAAATCATAAAAGCAAGGCAATTTATCATATATGTAGTGGGTAAGTATTTGTAGTTCCAAAAGAGAATTCAGAGCAGTTAGAGATGCACAAATTAATTAATAAAAAGCTCTTGGAACTTATGAGTTTGGATGTGACACCAAGTATATTCTTCTGAAAGAGGGAATGAGATAAAACAACACTGAAAGGAGATTCCAATGAATAAGAGGATGGCTAGGGCAGTCCCAGGATAGAATAGTTGGGTGACTATATGAAGACTGCAGACAGTGACTGAGTCATATATGGAGTGAGTGCATGACTAAGGGGTAAAAGGATAACATAAAAACAATCAAAAGAAACATAAAACTGTAACACCAATACTGGTGACTGACTCACAGAAAATCTTCTATTTTCTGTATACTTCCTTCCATATCAATGCTAATGATTAGGTACATTTCTAGCCAAAATCAATAACATTTTGGGGGAGAGCCAAAAAAGGGGTAGATAATTTCAAATTATTGGGTTGGCCAAAGAGTTCATTCTTTTTTGTAAGATGGCTCTAACAAAAAAGAGCCAGTTGAAGTTGATAGCAATCAAATCAAGACATTGAGAATGATTACCATTACACCATATGGAAGAGGGCAAACATACTCAAGACATCCAAATCAAGCACTGGAAATCATCTGCACCAACCTGGTAATGTTCATCACTTTGATGTATGGGTTCCACATAAGTTAAGTGAAAAAACCTTGACCATATTTCCACATGTGACAATTCTCTACTGCAATGTAACGAAAACATTCCATTTTTAAGACAAATTGGGATGGGCAATGAAAAGTGGATACTAGACAATAATGTGGAATGGAAGAGATTGTGAGGCAAATGAAATGTACCACCACCAACCACAAAGGCCAGACTTTATCCAAAGAAAGTGATATAGTATGGTGGGATTGGAAAGGGGTCCTCTATTATGAGCTCCTTCTAGAAAACCAAGTGATTAACCCCAATAAGACCAACTGAAAGCAGCTCTCAATGAAAAGCGTCCAGAATTACTCAATAAAAAACACATAATCTTCCATCAGGCTGATGCAAGACTGTGTGTTTCTTTAATGACCAGGCAAAGTCTGTTACGGCTTTGTTGGGAAGTTCTGATGCAACTGCTGTATTCACCAGACACTGCACCTTCAGATTTCCAATTATTTCAGTTTTTACAAAATTATCTTAACAGAAAAAAACTTAATTCCCTGGAATATTGTGAAAGACACTTGTAGCAGTTCTTTGCTCAAAAACATAGAGAGTTTTGGGAAGAGAGAATTATGAAATTGCCTGAAAAATGGCAGAAGGTAATGGAACAGAATAGTAAATACGTTGTTCAAAGAAGTTCTTGGTGAAAATGAAAAATGTGTCTTTTATTTTCACTTAGAAACCAACGGAACTTTTTGGCCAGCTCAATATTATGAAAACTGTCTCATATTGAAACAAAACCCTGAATTCTAAGGCTATTTTAACATTTACTAGTTGATTTTTGCAATCACTTCAGAAACCTTTATGTATTTCTAGACATGATTTGCATATATACACCTTCCAAAGCAGAATTATTAATATTAATACATACGTATTTTAAAATATTACATAATATTACATATATATTAAAAAAAATAAAAGTATTGTATTATTGGATTTACTTTTTAAGGCCTAGGTTTTTGGTTTTGCTTTTATCTCTGTAAATCCTAGCTATAACGTTAGCAGTCTCGATTTTTAGTTCTATAAATTGAATTTTGTTTACACCTAGATTTAAGTACCTTGTATAGAGAAACAGAAGGCACAGCTCCTTTTTTCAGCTTTCTTCTTATGCCATATGACTCAAAGTCACTTTCTTGAAAATGTTTGGAACATAGCATAGCACCTGGTCCTGGGATCCAAATCTTTTTGCTTCTCGGGTCCATACGATTAACAGCCCTGATCCATTTTGAGCGCTGTATGGTATCAGTTGGAAATCTACAGCAATCATATTAAAGTTCCATTAACAAGAAAACCTCATAGTAATACTACAGTATTATTTATTACACAAACCCATTTATTATTTAATTGCTTTTATGTAAACATTTAGTCCAGCTAAAGTTTAACTCACTTGATCTGATTTCAAAGTTCTTTGTCCAAAAGCTCAGTATCTAAGTGATCCCATCTGTTTCAACTTGTATGTGGACAATTCTCACATTTAATATCCTACACATTCTATCTGCACAGCCTAGAGTTAACAGAATCTGCTCAAATTTAACATGTGTCTCTTTCCTGTGGCAATTTTAAACTATATCCACAGATTCTTTGGTATGCCTCCTTTCAAGGGGTGAAGCCTAATTCCCCTCCCCTTGAGTGTGGGCTGGAGTTTGTGACTTGCTTCTAAAGAATATTAAAAAGGTAGAGGTGATATGGGCTGTAGATCAGAAAAAAATAGCGAGGATTTGTCTTTCTTGCTCTATTGAATGGTTTTTCTTTGGGGGAAGTTATGTGCCATGTCATAAGCAGCCCCGTGGTGAGTCCACTTGGTTAGAAACTTGAGTTCTCCAGTCAAAGGCCACATGAGCCTTTTTGAAAGGATATCCTTTGGCCTCAATCAAGGCTTCAAGTGACTGCAGTCGTGGCTAACATTTTGATTGCAATCTTATGAGACTCCCAGTCACACATAGTTAATCCACTCCACAATTCCTGACCCTCAGAAATTTGGTGAGAAAACAGATGCTTCTGATGAATTTTGAGGAAATTCATTACTAAACAGTAGAAAACAAGTAGAAAAATCCGCTGGGTCACAGAAAAAGCAAGAGAATTCCAGAAAACATCTACTTCTGCTTCACTGACTATGCTAAAGCCTTTGACTGTGTGGATCACAACAAACTGGAAAATTCTTAAGAGATGGGACTATCAGATCACCTAACCTGTCTCCTGAGAAACCTGTATGCAGGTCAAGAAGCAACAGTTAGAACTGGACAAGAAACAAAAGTCTGGTTCAAAATTGGGAAAGGATCACGTCAAGTATGTATACTGTCACTCTGCTTATTTAACTTATATGTAGAGTACACCATGTGAAATGGTGAACTGGATGAACCACAAGCTGGAATCAAGAATGCCAGGAGAAATATCAACTACCTTAGATATGCAGATGGTACCACCCCAATGGGAGAAAGTGAAGAGGAACGAAAGAGCCTCTTGATGAGGGTAAAAGAGGACAGTGAAAAAGCTGGCTTAAAACTCAACATTTAAAAAATGAAGATCATTTAAAAAAAAAAAAACGAGGATCATGGCATCCAGTTTTATCACAACAAGGGAAACAGGCTGGGGAAAAAATAGAAACAGTGACAGATTTTATTTTCTTGGGCTCCAAAATCACTGCAGATGGTGACTACTGCCATGAAATTAAAAGACGCTTGCTCTTTGGAAGAAAAGCTATGACAAACCTAGACAGTGTATTAAAAAGACATCACTTCGCTGACAGAAGTCCACAGCTATGGTTTTTCTGGTAGCCATGTGTGGATGTGAGTGATGGACCATGACGAAGGCTGAATGCTAAAGAATTGATACTTTTGAACTGTGGTGTTGGAGAAGACTCTTGAGAGTCCCTTGGACTGCAAGGAGATCCAACCAGTCCGTCCCAAAGGAAATCAGCCCTGAACATTCATTGGAAGGACTGATGCTGAAACTGAAACTCCAATACTCTGGTCACCTGATGCAAAGAGCTGACTCACTGGAAAAGACCCTGATGCTGGGAAAGACTGAAGGCGGGAGGAAAAGGGGACAACAGAGGGTGAGATGGTTGGACAGTATCATCGACTCTATTGACATGAGTGTGAAGAAACTCCGGGAGATGGTGAAGGATAGGGAATCCTGGCATGCTGCAGTCCATGGGGTTGCAAAAAGTTGGACACGACGTAGTGACTGAACAACAAAAGAAAACAAAGTACATTTCCTACACTCAGTTTTTCTATTTTGTTTTGAAAGGACAACTTTTTCCTAGACTTGAACATAAAAACTACCTTCCATTTTTCTACTTGTCAATCCCAGCCAAATTATTATATTCAGAAATGAGTGATGGGGAAAAACTCAAGAGACTAATGTAATGAAAATCACAGAACTGCTCTTCCTGCACCCTCTTCTTTATCTTGGAGACAGATCGACAGGTATGATTCTTAAATACTTCAATTCATGCTTTAAAGCATATAGTTGCAAGGAATTGAAACTGGTAAAAAAAGTTTCATTTTCTCAGCTAATCTTGTTAGGGAAATGATATGTCAAAATGGTAAAACATAATTCTGAGATACTCTGTCAATCACCTTGAGAAACAACACTTGAGTTAGAAAACCTGCATTTAAGCCTCAATTCCCTTTTATCAGCCATGTGGTATTAGATACATCTATCAATCTATCAGCTTCCTCCAGGGGTGCAGGTATATGACACAGATGTGTTCAAAAGCACTCTGTAAATGGAAAGGTACCATCTAAAATTTGTTCTTTGTTAGGAACAACTAATGCCACTTTGGGGACTTTTTATCTTATTGTTCCAGGAAAATGATGCTACACAATCATGAGAGAATGTACAGGGAATTATTTTCCAATAAAGAAAGGCACATCTCTCGCTCTTCTCTGGGCTTTCTTAACAATGGTACGTGTTTGTGAGGCAACATTTCCAGATTGAGTGTAGTCTCTTAACAAGTAAGGGACTAGCAAAAGTTTGCTGGTCTACCAAGTTACATTACTAGCCTGATTCTCTGATGCAAAGCTTCCCAACTGGCACACCTGGAGCTCTTGAAGTAGTTACATTAAGCTAGTTCCAAACAGCTTTGTAGGTTTGGAGGTTTCTGATGTGTAAGATGACATGGAAAAGGCTGGTAAATACTGTAGTCTAACCAGCATGATTGAGTTCTAGACAAAAATAAATTGGTTTAACAATTGATAATACTTTTAAAGCATTCACCTTATCTTTTGTATGTTTTAAAAACATTTTTAGTTTTAAAAACAAAACAGAAAAAAGCTCTGTAGGACAGGTTTTTATCCTCTCACAGAAGATAAAACCAAGACTAGAGCAGCCAAGTTTAGCCATCAGTAAATAGTCAGTTAAAATTGGAATTCAGGAACTTCCCCGGTGGGCTAGTGGCTAAGACTCTGTGCTCCCAAAGTAGGGGGCCTGGGCTCCATCCCTGGCCAGGGAACTAGATCCCTTATGCTGCAACTAAGAGTTCCAAAGACACAACTAAAGATCCACATGCTGCAACTAAGACCAGGAGATCCTGTGTGTCACAGCTATGACCCAGAACAGCCAAATAAATAAATAAATAAATAAAAGTAAATAGATTAATTATCAAATAAAACTGGAATCCAGATGTCCCTAGTCTAAAGCCACCTCTGAAACTGAAGGTCATTCATTCGTGTCCGATTCTTTGCAACCCCATGGACTATACAGTCCATGGAGTTCTCCCAGCCAGAATACTGGAATGGGTAGCCTTTCCTTTCTCCAGGAGATCTTGCCAACCCATGGATCCAACCCAGGTCTTCCGCATTGCAGGCGGGTTCTTTACCAGAAAAATTCTAAACCAATCACCATCTCATACACATAATAATGAAATGGCTTACACTGTAACAAAGAATCCATTTTTTTCCTCCAGTTGACTATGCCTTTTTTATAATGCTAGTGAGGATTTACCTCTGGCTCCCTGCACTTCAAATATTTTCCAGAAAAGTGACTAACAAAACCTCTTCTACAGGGGTTACATCCAGGGAGGGAGAGAGAAAGGACTGAGGGGCAAGGCTTTAACTACACTTATAGCTTAAGTCTCTTCTAAAAAAGAGAAAAAATCAAACATTTTACCATCTGCTTATTCTCAGTGATGGGAAACAGATGTTTGTTACATATAAATAAAAGTTTAAAATAGAATTCATTACAACACTTCAGGCAAAACTCTTCCACATCACCAATACATATATTTCCTTGGTTATGAAATAAATTTCTTAATCTCTTTATACCTACAGAAAGAGAATATATCAAAGGGTCACTTCAATTTTTAACTTGCCAGTCCCACTTTCCGTTTAAGTCATTCATATGCTTGACAGAGCACTAATATTCTCATAATATCAGAGGCATATATTCAAAATTTTTGTTATGGAAAGAGTGCCAAGATCAAATAGTTTGAAGATGGCAGCTTCAGGCAACAGCAAGTTGATTAACTCTCTCTTTCCCATATTACCTTTTTGCTGAGTCCTTACTTCAGACCAGTGTTACCTTATAACTAGGACTTACACCACGGTATCCTAACTCCTTCTCCCCTCTCTATTCTTTCCTGTCTTCCTTAAAACTTTAGCTGTCAGGAAGACCAACAATTCTTCTCATTCATACATAGACGGTGTCTAATTCTGCACACAGGTACCATTAACAGAAGTACAGAGGGAATGTATTTAGGTTGGAAGAGAGGTATAAAGGAAAGGCTACACAGAGGAGCTTGGACTCTTATCTTTTAGGCACTAAAGAGCCGGAGGTCTTAAAACACTTCCCTAAGGGAGAGAGCAGGATAAAATTTGCACTTAATCCACCTGGAATGCAGGAGACCCCGGTTCGATTCCTGGGTGGGGAAGGGTCGCTGGAGAAGGGATAGGCTACCCACTCCAGGATTGTTGGGCTTCCCTTGTGACTCAGCTGGTGAAGAATCCACCTGCTATGCGGGAGACCAGGGTTCAATCCCTGGGTTGGGAAGATCCCCTGGAGAAGGGAAAGGCTACCCACTCCAGTATTCTGGCATGGCTTGCAAGGAGTCAGACACGACCGAGTGAATTTCACTTCACTAATCTAGAAAATGAAATGAACGGGGAAGAAATTAGGCATCAGAAATCAAGAGTCACAGCACACTGGTGTAATAATTACATAAAAAAAAAATTTAATTAAGCGGGTCTTGCTTTGGTCCTCAACATATGAAACAAAAGCAAAAAGTGAGTCCTTCCTTATTTAAAGAAACTAGGAAAAAGGCACAGGAAAAACAGGGCAGCAAACATTGAGGAAGAAATCAAAAGGGAGAGAACTAGGGAGAGAATGTCAGTAACAGCCAAAGGAGGTGAGGGTTTCAAGTAGTGACCAATATGATTAAAAGTTAAACAGAGGTCAAGAGAAAGATTTATTAATATAATTGCTCATTTAGATTTGCCAAGATTACCAATGACCCTCAGTCAGTGGGTGTGGACAGATATCTGGCTGCAGTAGGTTGATAAGTCAACAGGATTTAGGGAAGTAGGTGTAGGCTTCTGTTTTGAGGAACTTGGTTATAAATGGAAGGAGAGTGGTAGGGTAGTGCAGAGGTGCAAAAAGGTTCAAGAGTTTGTGTGTATTTAAAAGTGGAAGTAATTCAAGCATACTCAGTGTTTTTAGGCAAGTAAGCAGCAGAGAGAGCAATTTAAAATAAAACTAGAAGAACTAAGTGATGGAAACAAATCTCAGAGAAGAAAAGATACAATTATAGCACCTTAGGTGGAGGAAGCAGCCTTCCTTAAAAATAAGCAACACTACAAAAGGCCTACCATACATAGTTGAAACTCCTTAACTTAACATGTTTTTAGATAATTTGTTAACTACTTCACCCAGGCTTCTACATCTTCACTTTCCATTCTTTTATTTTCCCATGCTGTGCTCTGTGCTCAGTCATGTCCAGCTGTTTGCAACCTCATGGACTGTAGCCCGCCAGGCTCCTCTGTCCATGGGGATTCTCCAGGCAAGAATACTAGAGTGGTTCGCCATCTCTTCCTCCAGGGAATCTTCCCAACTGAGCGATCAAACCCAGGTCTCCCACATTGCGGGCGGATTCTTTACCATCAGTGCCACCAGGGAAGCCCTTTTCCATTCTATTTCTACTTAAATGCTATCCTCTTTCCACCCCACCCTCCATTCTAGATAGGGCTCAAGGTCCAACTCAAATACCACTTGTCCCAAAGAGTTCTTTTTGATCTTTTCATAAAAGTTCTTTGTCTACCTCTCTACCTCGTATTGCCTTACAAGGATACCACTTTAAAAAATACCGTACATTTCTTTCCCTCTGAGAGGATCTGTTCTACCCACTTTTCTACCTCGCATTAACTTCAGCGACCTTTATCAGACTGTCCCACAGATGTGGGTTCAAATTTGGACGGTCTGAAAATACACCCCACTCTTGAGCCAAATGAAACCCGCTTGCCATGACCAGATACAGCCAGAATCGGACCTGGCATGTAGAGCTGGGCTAATGATAGTGAACAACTGGTAATGACACATAGTACTAGTTAAAATCTGAAAACAAGGGCCTTCGGAACCCTACTGGGTACAAAAGCCTTGTGTCTCCCGTTTCTTATTTTTAAAATGGGGGTGTTGGGGTGGGGGGGTGGAATTCAGTCTCCCAGGCTTTCTCTGCGTTCCAAAGAGTAGATCAAAGCAATGGCTGATTAGGGAAGTCGGGGAAAGCAGAAAAGTAGCACTTAAACTAGATAACCTGAACAATAAATAGTTCAGTGACAAAACACTCCCGATTCCTCCTCAAGGGATACACATAACAACGTCTTGGCTATCTTTATGTAGTTCTGTAAAAACTAAACCCCACCCAGGTGGAGAACGGTGACTACCTGCGGATCACAAGCCCTTAGACCTCAGGTTTGGAACCAGAGGTCTAATCACAACCAAAAGGCTGATGATTCAGCTTCTCCAAACACCAACCTGTTACCCCCAATCAGAATAACGTCACGAGCCCTGCAGCCCTCACCCCAAATGCCGCTTTGAAAAAAACCTAAAAGCTATCAGGGAGTTCAGAACTTTTCAACACCATCTATCCATTCCCCTCGCTTGGCACCCTGCAATTACCGCTGGACTTTCCTTCACCTCAACCCGCCACCAGTATATTGGATTTGCTAAGCGGAGGGAGAGGGGAGGCGAGCTCTATTTCGTAACAAACGCATCCGTACTCATGCTCCCAAGCAAGACACACACTAACGAAAGTGCACGCCTTCAACAGTTCTTCTAAACTGCCTTCCTTTCTCGTCTCTTCAATAACACGACGGAAAGGCAGCAACACTCCTTTAGAGTAACTCCTGCTAAAAGCTACTGGGGGCCGGTAGGCAAGCTACTGGGCACGGGTAGGCAGGGAGAAAACAGGCAACCCGCAGACAAACATTGAGCAGGAAGACAAAACAGGATTACCCTCTAAGTTGCCCAATTCCCTCCCCCGCCCCACGCTACGCACGTCACGTCGACGGCGTCACGCTCCACCCGGCCCCGCCCCCACCCCCGTGGCCTGCAGCCCGCCTGGCCGTGCTGGCAGTTAGCGCGGAGGCTGTTCTCACGCACTGGTGGAAAGAGAGGCCGCGCTCCCGGCTCAGTACGGTGTCTCGGGTGCTGCAGCCCACTGCCGAGCAACTTCGGGTCATCTTCTTGCTACGTGGGGCTCCACCTCCGGTGTTCCCGCGACAGCATGAGTCGCGGTCAAGTTAGCTCCGCCCGCTGACTCGGCTGCTACCACCTTTATTTGTTTGAGAAAGGCGGGCTCTTAAGGCGCCTTGGCTCCCGCCCTACCTCTCCGCGGGCGCTGCGCTCGCCGCCGTGGCCAATCACAGAGCACGTCACGTCGCAGCAGCCAATCGGAAAGGCTGGGGGGTATTAAGTCAAGCTCTGGGCCTCCCCCTCGCTCCTCGTTGGAGGGTGATAAGTGTATTTCGCTGCAATGGGCTCTTTTTCGCCTGGCCTGGTGAAATCCAGGGCCATCGCGTTTCCTCCGAGGCTCGGCCAGAGAATGCGAAGGAGGAGAGGCAGGACAAAAGTTGAGGCGAATCCAGGGGCACGCCGATGGGTCTCCAGGTGCGAGCTCTGAAAGTAATGGGAGGACTAGGAAAGGATGAACGTGGCGTCCTAGAAATATTGAAGGCAAAATTAGAACCCAAATAAATTATTTAATGAGAGGCATGTCATTTTCTTGCACTCTATTTTGCAGTTCTCTGATGCGGAGATAATGTCGGAGCTCTTGGTATGGTAGGCATGTGGCCTCAGGATCTAATGAGAATTTAATACCAAGATAAATCGGTTTTTAATTCAAGGAACTCTTTCCTGCAAGATCTTTTGCCGCAGTGGAGATTAAGAAGGAGATAAGGTAAGAAGGTTTGGGGGGAAGAGCACGGTCTAGTGGGGACTCGTTAATAGAAGTACTAGGAGGAGCAGGAGAGGGGCCAGTGCAGTGGTTTTGCTTGGGATGTGGGGCATCGTGGATAGTTTTCAGGAGTGAGAGGATCTTAGAACGATGTCTTTTCTTAAGCTCTTTATGTTTACGATATGAGACTTCAGTTTTTACGGAAGAAACAAAATGGAGCCAAGGTGGGGCGTAGTTTATATTTTGTATCCTTGAAGAAGTCCTTAGTATATCATGTAGCATCTTTCCTGCTTAACGTTGGAGGCTCATTAAAGTAAACAAATGTTCTTAACTTTTTTCTGTCTCTAGCTGCAAGAATGAGTCCAACATTTCCAAGCAAGGTTGTTCTTTCTCCCAGGTTACTTAATACAGATTCTGGCTGAAAAGATTCATCTCAAGGTATTGTTCACAGTTGCTTTGCATTATAATATGCTTATGTCATATTAGAATGAGATTAACATAGCTTTTACTTATGTAGGTTTGTGAAAAGTCACGAGGCCTAAGGATAATACAAGAATTGAGAAATTGGTCTATGGGGGATGTGTCTACTTGGCTGTAAGATGTGCAAACTATAGAACCTGGATTTAAAGCACTGTCGTTGATCAAACTACTAGAAACTTTTCTAGCACTTAACCAATTAAGACCTGAATGAGACTAAATAGAAATAATTAAGTTTTCAATTAAAAACTGGTTGCCTTATATTTTTTTTTTTGGCAGAAGTTTTGTAGAAGTATAGTGCACATATCATGTAATTAACCCATTTCAAATGCATGACTGGATGGGTTTTAGTATATTTATGAGTTGTGCAGTGATCACTGCAGTCAATTTTAGGACATTTTCATCACCCCAAAAAGAGACTCCATTTGCAGTAGCAGTCATTCCGTACATTTTCCCTCCCCTAGTCCTTGGAAACCGCTCATGTTTGTCTGCGTGAGTGCTCAGCCAGCCAGCGTGTCCAGCTCTTTGCCACCCTTTGTACTGCAGCCCACCAGGCTCCTCTGTCCGTGGGATTTTTCAGGCAAGAATACTGGAGTGGGTTGTCATTTTTCTCCTCCAGGGAATCTTCCTGACCCAGGGATTGAGCCTGTGTCTCCTACTTTGCAGGCAGATTCTTTACCAGCTGAGTGTAGATTTGCCTATTCCTGATATTTTCATATAAATGGAATCAAAGACTCGTCTGTGCTCTTGTGACTGGCTTCATTCACTTGGAATATTTTTAAGGTTCCTTCATGTTAGTCCATTTATTTTTATTGCCAGCCCCAAATATTCCATTGTATGGGTATACAACATTTTCTTTATCGATTCATCAGTTGGTGGACATCTAGGTTATTTCCATTTTGAGGGGCTGTTATGAATAATGCTGCCATGAACAATTGTGTACAAGTTGGTGTGGGGCGATGTTTTCATTCCTCTTGAGTATATACCGAAGTGTGGACTTGCTGGGTCATACTTCTCTCTTCTCTTTACTCTTTTGAGGAAATGTCAGACTTTTTCCAGAGTGGCTGTACCAACTTACATTCCCGTGAGCGATGGAGAAGAGTTCCAGTTTCTCCACATTCTCATGGGTGTGAAGTGGTATCATTGTGGTGGTTGCCCTTATTTTTAAGGCCTTTTTTACACGTTTGTAAGAAATTGTTTAGAGGATGCTCTTTGAGTGCAGAGACGATGTCATTCAGTCACAGTCGGAAACAATGTCTAAGGTGAATTTGTTCAGTCCTTAACCTGCAAATAGATAACATAAGTTTCTGTTATAATGTCACATGTTTTCTGAAAAAAAAACTTCATGCTCAGCACAGTTGTACATTTGCAGATGTAAGACTTATGGGGAAAATAGGATTAGGATTGACTACTCAAAATATACGCAGTTTGACACTATCTTTAGTGTCGGTACCAGGGAAGCACGCTTACACTCTTTCAACCCATTAAAGGGAACGTTAAATGGAGACTTAAACTTACCATTATGGAGTATTAAAAGAGCAATGCTTGTGGGTGTTGGACATTTCCAATGGAAGTAGAGCCCTGGGCGAAAGGGCTGCTGTTAAGATGGGTTCAGAGGTAATCAAATCTGCTGAGAGCCGGGCACGGAGGTGGGTGCTGCTCCCAAGTGAGATCCTGTGCAGGCACTCATTTCCATTTTCTTAAGCTAGAGCTGCCAGTTCAGCATCAGAGTATAAAGAGGGATTTTTTTCTTTCCTGCTGAATTAGTTCATGAGAATGTAGCTCTCAAAGTGTTGACAGTATTCGTCTGTTTATTAATTACAGATGGGTTTCATAAAACTGCAATGCTTGGAAACAACTTAATTAAATTTAATTAAATGCACATCTACTAAATGAAAGTAACCAACTTTCTTTACAGCCACAAGGGTCCGCTACTCTGGGTAGCATGCAATCCCTTGTAAATGGAATCATTGATGTTGCGTTGTATTTATGTATTTTTACATTTGCTAATCAGCTTTATGTACTTTTGGTGCTATTTTTTTATTGTTATACTGGTCACACTGAAGTTATTGATTTAATCATTTGATTGTATCTTTGCTTCCTTTGATAGCTTCATATCCAATGATTAAACATTTTCACTGCTGTTCACATAATGAACTTATGTGATTATTGAATATGTGAATGAGGATATGTAAGCTGTATTAAAGATGTTATTTGTAGAAAGCATTGACCAGTGCAAAAAATAATTGGAAATAAAATATCTTTTCAGGAATTGCATTATTGAAGATGTCAGTAAAAGAGTTCCTGGATCTTGGAAGAGAATTACTAAAACTGTGCAGGGGAGGTAGTATAATATCTTTCTTTTTTTAATGTATTAAGTATTCCTGGCACCAAAGCAGTGAATGGGAGGGGAGGATTGTCCAAGTAAAAAATAGGTTTATAAAGGATTGAGTGAAATCTGATTTTCTTTTTTATGTTATAAAATCTCATTAATTGCTTCATTTCAGTTCAGTCACTCAGTCATGTCCAACTCTTTGCAGCCCCATGAACCGCAGCACACCAGGCCTCCCTGTCCATCACCAACTCCTGGAGTCCACCCAAATCCATGTCCATTGAGTCAGCGATGCTATCCAACCATCTCATCCTGTCATCCCCTTCTCCTCCTCGCCTCAATCTTTCCCAGTATCAGGGTCTTTTCCAGTGAGTCAGGTCTTCGCATCAAGTGGCCAAAGTATTGGAGTTTCAGCTTCAACATCAGTCCTTCCAATGAACACCCAGGACTGATCTCCTTTAGGATGGACTGGTTGGAGCTCCTTGCAGTCCAAGGGGCTCTCAAGAGTCTTCTCCAACACCACAGTTCAAAAGTATCAATTCTTTGGTGCTCAGCTTTCTTTATAGTCCAACTCTCACATCCATACATGACTACTGGAAAAACCATAGATGACTAGATGGACCTTTGTTGGCAAAGTAATGTCTTTGCTTTTTAATATGCTGTGTAGGTTGGTCATAACTTTCCTTCCAAGGAGTAAGCGTCTTTCAATTTCATGGCTGCAATCACCATCTGCAGTGATTTTGGAACCCAGAAAAATAAAGTCAGCCACTGTTTCCCCATCATTTGCCATGAAGTGATGGGACCAGATGCCATGATCTTAGTTTTCTGAATGTTGAACTTTAAGCCAACTTTTTCACTCTCCTCTTTCACTTCCATCAAGAGGCTCTTTAGTTCTTCTTCACTTTCTGCCATAAGGGTGGTGTCATCCATGTATCTGAGGTTATTGATATTTCTCCCGGCAATCTTGGTTCCAGCTTGTGCTTCCTCCAGCCCAGCGTCTCTCATGATGTACTCTGCATATAAGTTCAATAAGCAGGGTGACAATATACAGCCTTGATGTACACCTTTTCCTGTTTGGAACCAGTCTGTTGTTCCATGTCCAGTTCTAACTATTGCTTCCTGACCTGAATACAGGTGTCTCAAGAGGCAGGTCAGGTGGTCTGGTATTCCCATCTCTTTCAGAATTTCCCACAGTTTATTGTGATCTACATAGTCAAAGGCTTTGGCATAGTCAATAAAGCAGAAATAGATGTTTTTCTGGAACTCTCCTGCTTTTTCAATGATCCAGCCGATGTTGGCAATTTGATCTCTGGTTCCTCTGCCTTTTCTAAAGCCAGCTTGAACATCTGGAAGATTACAGTTCATGAACTGCTGAAGCCTGGCTTGGAGAATTTTGAGCATTACTTTACTAGCGTGTGAGGTGAGTGCAATTGTGCAGTAGTTTGAGCATTTTTGGCATTGCCTTTCTTTGGGATTGTAATGAAAACTGACCTTTTCCAGTCCTGTGGCCACTGCTGAGTTTTCCAAATTTGCTGGCATATTGAGTGCAGCACTTTCACAGCATCACCTTTCAGGATTTGAAACAGCTCAACTGGAATTCCATCACCTCCACTAGCTTTGTTCGTAGTGATGCTTCCTAAGGCCCACTTGACTTCACATTCCAGGATGTCTAGCTCTAGGTGAGTGATCACACCATCGTGATTATCTGGCTCATGAAGATGTTTTTTGTACAGTTCTTATGTGTATTCTTGTCACCTCTTTTTAATATCTTCTGGTTCTGTTAGGTCCATACCATTTATGTCCTTTATCAAGCCCATCTTTGCATGAAATGTTCCCTTGATATCTCTAATTTTCTTGAAGAGATCTCTAGTCTTTCCCATTTTATTGTTTTCCTCTATTTCTTTGCATTGATCACTGAGGAAGACTTTCTTATCTGTCCTTGCTATTCTTTGGAACTCTGTATTCAAATAGGTATACCTTTCCTTTTCTCCTTTGCTTTTAACTTCCCTTCTTTTCACAGCTATTTGTAAGACCTCCTCAGACAGCCATTTTCTTTTTTGCATTTCTTTTTCTTAGAGATGGTCTTAATTCCCGTCTCCTGTACAGTGTCACAAACCTCTGTTCATAGTTCATCAGGCACTCTGTCTATCAGATCTAGCCCCTTAAATCTATTTCTCACTTCCACTGTATAGTCATAAGGGATTTGATTTAGGTCATACCTCAATGGTCTAGTGGTTTTCTCCACTTTCTTCAATTTCAGCTTGAATTTGGCAATAAGGAGTTCATGATCTGAGCCACAGTCAGCTCCCAGTCTTGTTTTGCTGACTATAGAGCTTCTCCATCTTTGGCTATAAAGAATATAATCAATCTGATTTCGGTGTCGACCATCTGGTGATGTCCATGTGTAGAGTCTTCTCTTGTGTTGTTAATTAATTGCTTAGTTGGGGGAAAAATAAGTAACAGGAGAAGGAAATGGCAACCCACTCCAGTGTTCTTGCCTAGAGAATCCTGTGGACAGAGGAGCCTGGTGGGCTGCTGTTTGTTTCTAACACATTTTTCTCAACTGTGAAAGCAAAAATAGAAATTTTGCCTTCTAGAACTGGTATCGTCCTTATTGAATACCTATCTTTTTGTCAGAGTTTTAGCTAGTTTTACATTTATTTGTCATCCTGATATAATAAAACATATTTCTAGTAATTGACATATTCTTGCTGAATTTTTCATCCTGTTGGTTCTCTGGGGATTTTTGTTCTTCAGAAGGCCTTGGGATCTTGAAATTATTGGTGACTGAGTATAAGTCAGTTCTGAATCCAGTCCTTCCCCATGAATTTTGGACCTTTTCAGCTAATTCATAAGTTGAACGTTTTACTTTTTTGGATATGGATTATGACCTCCTGGGACTTCCCTTGTGGCTTAGTTGGTTAGGATCTGCCTGCAATGTGGGAGACCTGGGTTCAATCCCTGGGTTGGGAAGAGCCCCTGGAGAAGGGAAAGGCTGCCCACTCCGGTATTCCACTCTAGAGAATTCCATGGACCATATAGTCCACGGGGTTGCAGAGTCGGACACGACTGAGCGACTTTCACTTCACTTCACTTCTGACCTTCTGTGTTAGTGTTTACTGCTGTGTAACAGGTTGCTCAGTGCTTGGCAATTTAAAACAAACACTAATCAAACAGTAAGGACAGGAGGTAGAAGACAGACATCAGCTTCTGAACTGTCTTCAGTTTGCAGGCCTCCGTTCCCTGATGGCTGTTGGCCGAAGGGCTCGGTTCTTCACCATGTGAACCTCTGCGTGGGCTGCCTGAGTGTTCTTACTGCGTGACAGCTGGCTTTCCCCAGAGGGTCTGGTCTGAGAGAGAAAGGCCAAGATGGATGCTTGTCTTTTAATATTGGGTTTTTTTTTTTTAATATGCTTAAAAGTGACCAGACATCACTTCTGCCCTGTTTCTGTTGGTCTCAGTGTGGTTTAGGTGGGCACTATACAAAGGTGTGACTCCCAAGAGGTGAGGGGTCATCAGAGGCCATCTTGGAGCCTGACTACCTCTCTGTAATTAAATACTTTGATTAAGTGTTACTGTTGTTGGACCCATCTCCCCTCTCCTAATTCCTCCTAAGTGGACGTGGTTAGACAGGCTCAGTAGCACTAAACCGTAGAGAGAAATCGTGTATCTTTTGCCTTATTATTTTGCTTGGGGTGCAGAATGACTTGGAAAATTTGAAATTTCTATTTAAAGTATTTCAAGGAGTGTAGTCTGACTGTTTGTAGGCAGTTTCACAAATATTTGACATACGATGGAGTCAAAATACAAATATGCAGCAGCAGAATTGGAGCAGTTTGCCCCTTTTCCCCAAAGGGTGAGTATACATCCTTTTCTTTCTGCTGCTCACCACCGCCATGGTCCCTCTGTCCCTCTTAATGAGCAAAACATAGACCTTCTCAAGCAGTCATAATGTTCCAAATGGGCAGAATTCTAATTAGTTCTGGAGACTTGTAATCTTTTGAGTCTTTTCCCATCATCACTGCTTGAGAGTTCTTTGTTAGTAGAGATGACTCTTCTACTTTTTTAAAGTTTTAGTGTTTATGATCATTGGAAACCTTGTCCGATAACAAAGACATTATACACAGAGCGAGGCATATCCAGTTTGGGGATGTGTTAAGGTATGGGTACTCTTCCATTATCAGGGTTAATGTTGAGAAGACACCTCCAAGTTAGCATAAGCTAACCTGTACAAAGTAGTAAATGACATGCTTGAAATTATCTTTGTTATGAGTTTTTTCCAGTCATAGTAAAATTGGAAGTCTTAGCTGTTCTATGTGAGAAAATGGAAAACTATAGAAATGTGCATTTATGTATTTTTAAAAGGGAGCTAAGCAATAAAAACTTAAAACTAGAGTTTAAGTGGAAAGTAAGTACAAATGTCCAATGATTAAACTTTTTCACTGCTGTTCACATCATGATTTGTTGTGATTAATGTATGTGAATGAGGACATAATGAAGAAAAGAAAATCATGAGGGATATAGTTAAGATGTGGTTTTTGTACTTTGACTTGCCTGTAAATGTTTTTCATTTTAGGAATAAAATTGAAGGGTGTTTTTCTTAGAGAACACCATGTGTGAGATTTATCAAGAATTCAAAGATTTATATAAGGTAAAAAGTTCATAAATTTTTTTTTAAGATAGTAATTTTATTTAATTAATTTATTTTTTGGCTGTGCTGCGTGACACATGGGGTCTTCCTAGCCACAGATTGAACCCGTGCCCTCTGCAGTGGAAATGCAGTCTTAACCACTGGACCACTGGGAAGTCCATATATACTTTTTTAGTTTTGACAAAAGAAGACCACAAAAATCTGACTTGAGAAAAAAAATGGATTTTGTATTCGTTATGCATGGAGCATAATGTGGATATTAAAAATTTTCCTTATTCAGCTTTCAAAGATAAAAAATATTATTTCAAAGATAGTGTAATTTTCATTTGATTCAGGAGAGGCTGCTGGGTGGGTGGGGGGTGGCAGGACTTTTAACCTTGATGGTCATTTTTTTAAAAAAAATAATGATATAATTCTTTCAGGCCCTGAAATTCTTAGAGGTCAGATATTCTGGGGTTTAAATTGGTTGAATTATTGGATATTCTATGAATAATTCTTTGATATGCCAGTGGATGACTATCCTTTTACTTGAGCTTTGTTCAGGAACAGTGGACAGGCAGGTAGTCAGAGCTGAGAATCTCAACCCTAATACCAGATTAACCTGATATGAATTAGGCATGGTATCTTGGGGTGTTTCTCAAATTTAACTAAGTTAATTTTCTATTTCTTAAAATTTTGATATAAACTTTATGGCCCTCAATGATAAGATGTATGAAATAAATGCATTCGAAAACAGAATTTAAACATTAATGGACCGGATGATACTGTTCTCCAGAAGTAAACGTCGTACTGGCTGCTGTTCAGTAAGTTTTATATACATATGGTCTTGTGCCTGTGATTGTGAGGATTTACAATCTGGGCAACAGTACAGTTACCCAGAACTTTAATCTTCTGCAGTCCTTAAGACTAGTGAAGTCAGGGGAGGGGCTCTAAATTCTCAATAAATTTAAACACTCTGAAGGGTGTTTTTGGACTGTCTGCAAATCCTTATTTGAAGAATTCTATATAACATTATCTCCAAACATTCTTCCAGTGAGTATTTCAGAGTCTAGGAATTAACATTCTTTTCAGGAAAACTTCAGTTTTTTTTTTATATAGAACTTGGCTAGTAATTAAGTAAATTGGGTTAAAAGTTGACTATTTTGGGGGGGAAAAAATTGACTATTTTTTGAATTATCAACGCAAGTTTTTCTTTTTTACATACAGGTCCTTTGCGCCATTTCAACATGCATGAATCAGTTTTCACGCCGAAGTTAGACAGCACCTGACCAGTTCAACAACACAGCTGAACTTTAAGTTGTCACAATATTAACTGTGAATTATTGCATAAATTTGGCTACCTCTCTTTATTCCAGAATCATTATGCAAAGAAAAGGTGTGCATCAAGAATGGTAACAGAAAAAAAGAAAATGGTAACAGTTACATCACTTCTTTCAAAGTCTTAGTCATTGCCCATCTATTAGTTACACAGATAGCAAAGCGTGTAACTGTTGCCTCCTTGTCTCCCAGTGATAAACCCATGGAACATTTTACAAAAATGGATATTCAGAAGAGGGAATTGGTCAATAAATATGACTGAACTACAAAGAAATGAAAAGTGGTTAACACTGCAGGTAAAATTAGTGTTAGAAGCTTTGAAAATGGCCACTGCAAAGGAAATATAGGACGATATCACGACCTACATGAAGCAACAGTACAAGCCACATTTTAAGAGTCTGATGAATATAAAAGCAAGATAAAAGTTGGTTCAACATCTGTTGGTGTAAAATTTCACCAAGAACAGAAAGCTGCTTATGGTTGAAATGGAGCATTTACTTTTCCTTTGTAGTGTAATCAAGAACAAATACTAGTCAGTTTGACATTGAAGTTAGTTGCTACATTGAAGGAAATGATAATTACAAGGACATCTGTTTACTGCCAGTAAAGGCTGGTTTCATCTCAAAGTCAACACAAATTAATGGTAAACTACCTAGTGAAGCTACAAACTCAGATAAAGATGCTACTGTGAAATGTGCACTCAAGATTCCAAGAATTACAGACAGTCCTTGCTTTGTACAATAGTGAGAGGCTGTACTGTGGAAAAACTGCAGGATTTGGATGGGATGTAAATGGATATAAAGATGACTGTGAGAGTGTTGACACTGCTGCCATTCAAGAAATAGTTCTAGGTATGTAGGAGGCAGAACTTAGTGAAGTTTTATGTGAAGAAAGCAGTCGTAAACAATGAATGTGTCTCAAAAGAAGTGATGCTGTTGAACAACTTCACATTGAAGGAACTCACAGAGCTGTATCATGATATTGACTTAAAAGATAAAATTTTGGAAGCTGATTCAAAGTTGGAAATGAGTATGACAGTTTGCCAAGGCATAGATAAGATGCCTTGGCATCTTACTCCATATTATAAGTTTTATAATGAGAAAGCAAGCACATTTCAAAACTACTTGATACATCTTTTTTTATAAAGGAATAAAACAACTTTCAGTGTTTATAGTGGTTTGTTTTGACCTTTTTTTTTTGTAGGGGAGAGTGTTGAGTTTGATTTTTTTTTCTTGGCTGCACCATGTGGCTTGCGGGACCTTAGTTCCCCGACCAGGAATTGGTCTTATCCCCACAGTGAAAGCCACAAATCCTAACAACTGGACTGCCAGGGAATTCCTAATGTTCGTAGTGTTTTAAATATTACCTTTAAACCATAAATTACACAAAATTACACATAAATTACATTTATAACCAACATCAAGAAGTTTTTTAATGTTTTGCCAAGTCACAGAATAATTGTTAAATATTAACAATTACTGTTAATCCCATAGATTAAGACTTTGCACCATTTCAGCTTGTGTAGTCAAAGGCAGAACTGCCTGCCTTTAAAACAAGGTGAGGAGTTTTTATATTTAATCAGACATAAGTGCATCAATCCTAGAACTGTAAGCTTTATCATAACCAATTATTATTGACACTTTTCACATTGTATGCTACTATATCAAGGCTTTGAAATAAAAGTCTAATTAGACTTTGCAGGCAAAATCCTGTCTAACAGAATGAAAGAGAAATTCACTCAATAGCGTCCAACTCTGACTCCATAGACGAGCTCACCTGGCTCCTGTCTGGAATTCTCCAAGCAAGAATACTGGGGTGGGTTGCAATTTCCTTCTCCAGGGGATCTTCCGGACCCAGGGATTGAAACTGGGTCTCCTGCATTGCAGGCAGACAGTTTACTGGCTGAGCTACTAGGGGAGCCCCCAGATAAGGTACGACTTTTAAGTCGGGTTTTTATTGACACCGTTTTAGGTAAACTAGTCCTTGGAATGGTAAGTGACAAATGGAAGGCTTTTTAGAACTTGAAATTAACAACTATCCTAAGCCTCTTGAGTAGGTCTACTTCAGCCTTACAGAACTAACTATATTTGCTTTTTAAACAGAATCAGAAGTGCATAACGCCACTAAATGGTTTTACAAGTGATGCCAAAATTTTGTCTCTGCACTGATGCTCAACAGAAATAGCATGGAAGAGAAATAGTGGCTTTATTTCTTTGCCAAGCAAAGAGGGGACACAGTAGGCTAACACCTCAAAACTGCCTCCTTTAGGGAATAGGGAGAGGCTGTGTATCTCAATGAAAGTCCTGTTTCTTTTTTCTTTTGCAAAATTTCACAACGGCCACAGCTGTCATCGCACACTCAGTAATCAGGTCATGTCTCCCTGAAGTTAAAACCACCTGTGACCTTTTTTGAAGTGGTACGAGAGAATGTAGGGGAAGAAAAATGCCAGATGCAAAGTATAATTCATACAGAATCAGTGATTAGTTTTATCTTTGTGAGGGACAAGTCTAGCAGCTAAAGAATAAACAAGATTGCTTAACTCTAGCAGTCCTGTTTGGCTGGTATGTGACTAAGACCATTCACACATTTATGTTTGTGCTACAACAACATAGTGAATATAGAAACGTGCCTACTCTTAAATACGAGAGTTTGCTATATTTTACTTTACTTACAGTGAAGGCATTTAGAAAAGACGGTTGACTGCTGTATTCGGAAGAGAACTGCACATGTACAGGCTCTGGCGAAACCAGTCAGTGACAAATTACAAGTTACAGTGTGACAAATGTTAACAGATCTCAAATATATCGCAGGATACTAACTATATATAGTACCTTGTTCACTCCACTGTGCCTCTAGGGGCTTCCCTGGTAGCTCAGCTGGTAAAGAATCCGCCTACGATGTAGGAGACCCCGGTTCGATTCCTGGGTCGGGAAGATCTGGAGAAGAAAATAGCAACCCACTCCAGTATTCTTGCCTGGGAAAGCCCATGGACAGAGAAGCCTGGCGGGCTACAGTCTATGGGGTCGCAAAGAGTTCGCCATGACTGAGCGACTTTCACATTCATGCCTCTTTAAGTAACAAATCAAGCACGTCCACAACAGCCTTTGCGTATGACCAGATCGTTTGGTTCTAAAGAAATCCTCAATAAGCAATACAGTAGAACCAAGTAGATAATTAAAGAACCCAGTAACAGTCTTGTTTGTAATAAGGCCCTTGCCGCCCGATTTTTCGGTGGCCGGTCGCGTCGGCAGCGTGGCGGGGGCCGCTGACGTCTCACAGGACCAGCGCTACGTGGCGTTTCTGCTGGCCGGGGCCGGCCTCCCGCCAGACAGCTACGCCCAGCAGGCCTTCTCTTTTTCGCATCATCTTGGCCACCGCACGCCGCCCTCTGAATTCACAAGTGCACGCGCGGCGCGGAAGCGAGTCCTCCCAGACTCCCACCCCCCACATAACCCCAGCCCGGGCCCCGGCCCTGGCCCCGGTCCCGGAAGTGCCGTGGCGGGCCGCGTATCGCAGTGGGCGGGGCGGGGCATCGCTCCCGGAAGCGTCGACCAGCCGGCTGGGCGGGGCTGCGGCTGCCACGTTGGAGCGGAACGTGGAGGTGGCCCCGGCCAGGAGGAGGGGCGGCGGCGAATGCTGGGAGAGTCCGACTGGCGCCGCGCTCACGCAGGAACCGGTCGCCGGGGGTCCCCGCCAGGTGCGTCCTCCTGTGCCCTCCTGTCCTCTTTGCGGGCCCTGGGGCCTTCGGGGAGAGCCCAGGCCCACGCCGCTCTCCCGATCTCGGTCTCATCTGGTCCCCGCCAGCCTGTGGCCCGGTCTCCGGCGGCGGCGCGCCCGGGTCTTCGTTTCGGGCCCGGCGGGACAGCGCCCGGCGTCACGGCTGCTTCGGGGATCGCGCCGGCCCGCATCCGCCGACGTTTCCTCCGCTGGGCAAAAGCACCCCTGAGGCTTGATCCAGGGTGTCCAGCCGGGGCGCGTAGCTGGCGTCTGAGGTTAGGGGACCTTCGGACCCTGGTGCACAAAGAGGTGCGGTCCCCAAGGGCGAAGGAAGGAAACAGACCTCATCAGCATTACCTTGGTTGACTTTAGTTTGGGATTTTTTTTGTTATTATTTGAGCTGTTGCCAGATTTAAAGGTTTATAGGTTTTAACTACAGGCTACTGTCACTTAACTGGGCTTGTTTTACTTTAAGAGCAGTCGCCGCCGTCGCAGCCTGTATCTCGAAGGAAGTATCATTCAGTGTTGCATGTTTTTGCTACTGATTTACTATAAGAAGAGGTTATATTACGGGGGCAGGTGTGAAATAAATCAAAATGTTGCCTGGGCTTGTGGGCATTATAAACTTTTTCATAACTCGGGGAACTAATTTTACCCGGGTCATTCTGAAGTTTCGGTGATGGTCAGTGACAAATCCTTTCCGCCAAACTGTCTTTTCTAACCACAGAATACTGAAATTGATTGTCTTTGTGGGCAACTGTAACTGTTTAATCAGTAGTTAGAGCTTCGTCCTTGAGTCATACTATCTGATGTTTTCTGTACAGAACGATTGTTCTAGAGTTGGCTAAAGTTTACCTACCTTTTCTTAGTGGTTCTTCTGTGCTCTTGGTTTCTCATTTCTCCCTAATTAACAGCCCTGGGAAAGGTTTGTAGACCCTTAGGAACTTTTGGATAAGTTGAAGTGTTTTTGTTGTTTTGAATTAATGTTACACACATCTGAGATTATTTAGGAAATGTCAAATTTGAAATGGAGTTCCAATTATATAACTTCATTTTATATAAGCAGGTTATTTTCTGAAACCAGTAAGAACAGAAAGAAACTTGTAAACTATAAAGAGCAATGATTCTTAATCTTTTGGTATTCCCCTCTCTCTCTCTCTCTTTTTTCTAGAAGTATTTGTGATTTTATTTTGTTTTCTGATATTCTTTTGATATTTATGTATTTATTTCTAAATTTTTATTGGAGTATAGTTGCTTCACATTGTTGGGTTAATGTCTATTATGCAGCAGAGTGGATCAGTTATATGTATACTCGTGTCCCCTCCTTTCTGGATGTCCTTCCCATTTAGGTGACCACGCAGCATTGAGTAGAGTTCCCTGTGCTGTGCAGTAGGTTCCCCTTTCTCCTTCGTTATCTGTTTTATCCAGAGTATCAAGAGTGTGTGTATGTCAGTCCCAGGCTCCCAATCATCCCATCCTCCTTCCCCCCCTTGGTATCTGTAAGCTTGTTTTCTAGATCTGTCTCTATTTGTGCTTTCAAATAGATTCATCTGTACCATTTTTCTAGATTCCACATATAAGCGATATTACACATTTTGTTTTTCTGACTTAACTTCACTCAGTATCACAGTTTCTAGGTATATCCACGTCTCTGCAAATGGCACTATTTCATTCCTTTTTATGGCTAAGAAGTATTACCTTGTGGGCTTCTGAGGTGGCTCAGTGGTAGAGAATCCACTTGCCAATGCAGGAGATGCAGGTTTGATCCCTGAGCTGGAAAGATCCCCTGGAGAAGGAAATGGCAATCCACTCCAGAATTCTTGCCTGCGAAATCCCGTGGACAGGGGAGCCTGGCGGGCTACAGTCCATGGGGTCCCAAAGAGTTGGACACAACAATGAGTAAAGAACAGCAATGACATTGTATATATCACTCCACTGTCTGTTAAGGATCTGATGAAACTACTGGATCATCTTCCTAGAAACATGCACATACACACATACAGGATTTTCTGTATAATTTCATGAGTTTTATATATTTCTAATTAAAGATTCTTATAAAATGATATTATTAAATTATTACATTGTTTTTCTAGAAATGTCATAATTCTTAAATAGGTTAATTTCAGGGACTTACCTGGTGGTCCAGTGATTGGGACTCCACACTTCTAAGGTGGGGTGGAGGGAAGGGCACGGATGGAATCCCTGGTTGGGGAACTGGGGATCCCATATACCATGTGATGTGGCCCAAAAGAGGGTTAATTTCAGCTCAAAAAGTTTTGTTTATTAAGACTGCAGATAAGTGTGACACAATTTAGTTCAATGACCAGTGCACAGTTGCATCTTTGATTTGGTTTTGGCTGAGTGAGATGAACCTAGACCATCAATAGCATTAAATAAATTCTCTGGAACAAATGTGCCCATCCTAATGAGGTATCTTGCCCACACAAGGTGAA